ACTCCATGCCTTATGTGTGAGATACATGAGTACATTTTATTGATACGTACCAATTGTTTTCTGTATGACTGCATCCACTGCAAGCTGGCATTCCTAAACCCATTGATGTCACGAATGACAGTTTGGCAGTTTGGATCTTCTGTGAGCAGACGTTTTCAGGCGAGTAATTTGGATGAGAATGTCAGGTTGTTCGAATATCCAACCCATGACATATTAACGGTCTAGATAATTGGTTATGTTGTTGTCTCGGCTATTGTGCTATTTTGCAAAGACAAAGGATTTTTTGTGTTAATTTCCTCAACTACATTCATTTTAAAATGACAACAGCTCACTAGATTTTTTCTCCATATTCAGCAGACAATGTTGAAATGTATACTGATTCACAAAAATATAACCATCAACATTTATTCAATGCAAAACAATACAACTCTGCCAAAGAGGCGGAACACCAAAAAACAGACAGGAGTCGAGTTAGTATACTCCCGATATCGGGGAGCGAGAGATATATCAAAAATGCACTCTATGACCAAGTGGGGTCATCTTCATCGGAATCAGGACGCCCAATTCTCTAACTGATCATAGTTTTCCTATAAAATTTTCAGTTCGGAAAAATCAAATTTTGTCTCACTTCTCATGGAAGCACCCTCGTATCTCACGTAATTATTGAGGTAGGGTTCTGAAATTTGCAGTAGGAAGGCAAAGTCCAAAGATGAAGTCAATTACGTAAGATACGGAGATGTTTCCGTAAAAAGTGCGGAAAAATATGAATAGTTTGTGATTAGGGCGTCCTGATTCCGAATCTGAAGTGATTTTCGACCTATTTTGACTCCTAATTTCATTTTCCGGAAATTGGGGTGGCTCCATGGCTGCTGGCGAGCAGTGTATATCACTGAAGATGACTCCACTTGGTCATATAGTGCATTTTTGGAATATCTTTCGCTCCAGTAAATTTCAGGACCCTTACCAAACGATTACGCAAGATACATCAGGGGTGTTTTCATTAGAAGTGGGTCACACTGTATACACCGTGTCCCAGCTAAAATGTCCCCCCCTGTAAAAAATCAACCGCGCAATCAAATGACTTGAAATTTGGTCACCCAGTATATGTGAAGATTCTCATTCGAAATATTATATTGAATAAATCGTAGGTATACAGGGTCACACTGAAGTGCACCTCAACTTTCTTATTTGAATAGGAACACCCAGTATATTATTCCATATTCAAGTAGAGTTCATTATTACGAATTGAACAATGCCGGGTTTGATGGGATTTTTTCAAACGACCACGAAGATATAGCTAAAAATAAAACGATTCTATAAAAAATGTATGATTTGATTTTATTAATATAACACGATTATAATCGAATGATAAGTGTCTTGCACATAACTACAGACCCTTAAAGGATTATCTTCGCCATCGGTTTGGGGAAAATCTAATAACCACCAATTGTCTCGATAGTGATAGCAACTGGCCAGCTCGTTGGCCAGACCTAACCCCACTTGATTTTTATTTGTGGGGCTACTCGAAACAACAGGTTTATGAGTCGCCAATTGTGAATATAGAAGAGATGAAAGATAAAACCACAATTTTATGCTCACAAATTGATCGAAACGTGATACATAGGGTCACAATGAACGTTATCAAAAGAGCTAGGAAATGTTTGCAGCAGAATGGACGACATATTGAGCAGTTGAGGTTCTAATTATTTTTCTTCATTCGATTTCAATCGAGTTATATTAACAAAATCTAATCATATAATTTTTTTATTGGATCGTTCTAATTTTTGCCATATCTTCGTAGTCGTTTGGAAAAATCCTATCAAACCCGGCATTGTTGAATTTGTAATAATGAACTCTACTTGAATATGGAATAATAAACTGGGTGTCCCTATTCAAATAGGAAAGTTTAGGTGCACTTCGGTCTGACCCTGTATACCTACGATTTATGCAATAGCATATTTCGAGTGAGCATCATCAAATATACTGAGTGACCAAATTTCAAGTCATTTGATCGCGCGGTTGATTTTTTTCAGGGGGGGACATTTTAGCTGGGACACGGTGTATATCCGGGAAAAAAGTACTGACTTTTTTCTCGCGAGGAAAAAGTAATTTATGAAAAGTGACATTCTATAACGTGTCAACAGAGATGAAATGTCAAACTTTTCTCTCATCACCAAAAAATATAATTTATCTACTAACGTCAAAAAATGACAAGGTTCGCGCTTTGTATATAAACTATATGAGATTTTGTATTTAAACTTTATGGTCCTCAATCGAGCATGTAAACAATAATCAGGGCCTTTCACTTTCAATCCAGTTCAACACTATTTTTTATTTTTGGATGTATGATAAATTGATATTCATCATATAGGAAGGGGAAAGAAATTCTGAATTGAGAAAACCTAATCACGAATCTGCGATTGAGGTCTATAAAAAATAACAAGTTTCCATCGTTCAAGTTTGAACCCCTTATTGATTGGGTGAAGGTGTTGAAAAGGGATCTTCTCAGATACAATTATGAACATTAAAAAATGGATATATATACAGTGCGCATCATAAGTGTTACACCCCCCCTATCTAACTCGTCACTGGACTCTTGTTAGGAAAATCGCCGAGACCCGTCGATTTTTGATTTCTACAGTGTACATTTTCGTAGGAATAGTTCACTCCTAATTTCATCCCTCACTGGAGGGGAGCAACCCAAAAAAATTTAAATAGCATGGGGTGGTGAGTGATAGCTCATTTGAAATTTCAATTTCTTTGCACGGTTGAATAGAGAATATTAAAACCCCTTTCAAATGTTGAATAAACCGAGAAAGAATTGATATTTTCAATATATAGAGAAGGCGAATTCTCAATGTATCTCTTTATATATATATATTTATTTTTTTATGTGCATCATTATATCTGAGAACATCCCTCTTCAATACTATTTTTTATATTGTGCTAAGCATATTTTTTGATCTTTGATGATCGAGAACTGATTTTTTTAACGAGGCGCAGCCGAGTTAATAAATAGTCGAAATGACCAAAGTATTTCGCGCAGTAAATACAAAAATAAGTATTCACACCCCTTACCCCATTTTTTAGTATGAACTCATACATTGGAGGGTACTCATAAATAAAATCAAAATACGTGTTAATACTTTTATTTAATTTCGGTAGTGATACATCAGATAAGAGGGTACACACGAAATTGAAATAATCGCTATTATTTATCTAATTTCGAAATGAAATATTATGTGTTACATGTTGGTTTATATATCTTATAATTTTTAATTCATCATTATCATTTGATGTTTTGCAAATAATTCATCTCACTTACAATTTCTAATCAACTAATCTGATTTGCGGAACAAACTAGAATGACCCATTTTGCAAAATCCATCAGTTACTTTATGACACCATAAAGAAATGTGCATATGTATCCATGTCCAAAATTGTAGAAGCCATTGTGAAAATTTTCTAAAATCTGGAATGTTACCTTTGACCACCTATGACTCAGTTGGTGCTCAGTTGGCTAAAATAGTTATATTTCGAAGTCAAAAATATATGTCCCATAATTGTGTTATTGGACTCCTTTTTCCGAATATCTAGAAATAGTAGATTTGAAAAAAAAAAATCGTCCGGGCAGTGAGTATTTATCGCCTCGGAAGTTTTCATAAATAAATTGCAATGGAAATAAAATAAAATTCAGCTATTCATAGAAGAGCCATCAATGCAATGCAGTCAATGCAATTTCCAATATTTTTAGTCGTAGTTTCCGTACACCTTGTTCTTATATCCTAAAACCAACAGTCTAAATCCCGTCCTAATTCTCTCCTGAAAATGCAATATAGAATAAAATAAAATGCGAAGTAAAAAAACTAAACTATACCCAATGCCGGATTAAGCCAGCGAGGGGCCTGTAGCAAATTCTATCAAGGGGCCCTTGGTTTGCTTTAGGTTATCAAGTTTAGAGTATTGAATCAAATAATACGACACCATTACGAATAAACTTCTCTGGATATACATACCTATATGGGCAAATTTAGAGATAGCACTTTCAATATCGACTTCTACTATTTTGTTTGATATCTCTCTTGCTCTTCCAGGACCTGAACTAAACAATTTTGAAATGTATTTTTGGAAAATTTCACAATCACCCATCAGGGAACTTTTTTGTTAAATGTATGTCTGTTCCTAATTTCGTTTGTACCATAATGATGTCTCTGATCTCGAATTTTTGGACCATTTTGTCAATACTTGACGAGTAAGTAATCTACACTTTTGGATTTGTTCTTTGAAATTTTCATAAATATTATTTACTTGCAGGTATAGCACTGATGATGGCTTTTTAGCCGAAAGCGCATTGCGATTTGATAATAAATTTTACACGAAATACAATAAAATCTCTTCATTCTATTGATATCTATATATATACTACTTATAATTTTCTAGGTACTTTTTTCATTGTTGCCACTTTTGTTAGTTCATTATCAGCGCCAGAAGAAAGTGTGATGAAAATTCCAAAAAATTTTGTTTTTTGAAGATAACTCAAAAACGAAAAGTCATATCAGAGATTTTCAAAATTCATATTATTGGACCTTCGATCGTGCAACTTTTTCGTCATTTGAAGGCTTCCGAAATGCCCATACTGACCCTCCTTATCTTGGTCACATCGGATACTCGTATAAATTGAAAATGTTTGAAAATGTAATCTTTGAACATGGATTATCATAATATTGCATGTATCTTTATGTAGAATTCGTGCATTTTTATTTAATAAAATTTTCTATAATTACTAAAAAACGTGCAAATCTAATCAAAATGGCTATTGATAGATTCTTGGAATAAATTCACCTGATTCCGTACGAAATGGGTATAGGTACTATTCGGTGAAGAAAATTACGAACAGAATAGAACTTGACCTGACATACCCTATGTGTTGATAATAATTATGTGAGTAAATAATGTTCCGAGAGTTTCTCGAGAGTAAATCATCCATCATATCGGCGAATGAGCTAGAGAAAAAGAATAGATATATGTCAAAATGACGACCATTCCTCCACCCTTCTGCACGGTTTTTGTGTTCACCAGGTAGGTATCATTCTGTATACTTTTCGAAATACTGTAATTCAGGATCTGAAGAAGAAATCATTAAGTTTTATTAGCAAGATCATGAGGACATAAAGAGACGATAGGGGAGATCACTGATATTGGTAAAACTGCACTTACCATGCGATGGTTTTTTTTTTCGAAAACATTTTTTTGGTACTTACTCACGTCTGGAAAACACGAATTTGATAATGAAATTGTGAACAAACCATTATTTATTAAGATATTTCACTATAAAGTTACAAATTTCACCTTCTTTTCCGCCTGTCTTCTGGATCACATTTAGAACAATTTGCCCTTCTTTTTTCATCATTGGAAACTTTTTATATCACAATGTACTTCAATGACACATTTTTTTCTATTATACAGCGTGTCTCATTTCAAACGGCCCCCCTCTATATCTCAGCTCTATCAGTCGTGCGATCTTTACCAAATTTGTATCGGTATGGATAATCATCAATATGACCAGTTCTTCAAAGACATGCAACATTTCAGACAGTGCCGTGCACCTTTTTATTGAAATGAATAGGTGTCAGTTTTATAATATTGTTCTTCATGGTTTTAAACCCACATATGTGAATTTTCATAAGATGTCTATCAAGGGTTTCAGAAAAACAGGCACATCTAAACAGCATTTTTGCCAACGTAATAATTATTTAATCGGAAACGGTGAGTTCAACATGAAAACGTTTAAGTCGTTTTTCCTTCCAAATCATGATTTTCCACCAACCGGAGCCATTGAACTTTCCAAAATTCGTAGTTGATTTGTAGTCACTATTTATTCGAGACTGAAAATGAAAAAAATGAAGCCAATCCTGTTATTTCGGAATCAGGTGAGTTTTTGCATATGGAGGTTCGAAAGCATGAGGAACAATAATATGAGGTTAGGTTTCCTGTAAAAAAAATGCCTAATATGATTTTATGAAAAATCGACCCCTTAGTTCAATAAAAACGCACGGCACTGTCCAAAATAATGTGCATCTCTGTAAAACTGATCATATTGATGGTAATTCATACCACACCAAATTTGGTTGGAATCGCATGACTAATAACAGAGATATAGAGGGGGGCCGTTTAAAGTGAGACACGCTGTATATGCTGACTAGAAATGTGATTTTCTTGCGATTTATCCATATTTAGTGAAAAGAAGGAAGAATATCATTTGAAATAATGGCCTGTGTAATGTCGTTCAAAAGCAATCTGTTGACACTTGACATCTCATATTTGGATTGACTATAGATTAAATGGCCGTCATCTGGTATGATTGTTATATAAATATGAAAAACTCGCCATATAAATCATATTTCGTGTTGAATGTTCTATATAAAAACGTGTCATTGAAGTGTATCATGAGTGTATGAAGTGTCCAATACACTACACTGTTTTACCACTAATTAAAACTATAATATTCTCCTGAAGATGCTAACATAGTTAGCGAAACACGTGTCGAGGCATTTAGAAAATCGGTTTGGTTAGTGGTAAACAGTGTAGTGTATAGTGTATTATCGTGCCAAAGGTTCCAGTCTTCGATATACAGGGTGTTAACAAATAAGTGTCACAACGGAAAACTGTATAGATTGATCATGAAAAAAGGAACAATTTTTCCCTTTCGAAATTTTCCTCCCGCCTTCCGTTATCGAGATACAGAGCGTCTAAAATATACAAAAAAACGGTTTTTTGCTACTATCTCAGGAACCGTCTGAGCTACGGAGTTAAGCCTTCCTACACACTTCATCATCAACAATGACTACTTTTAGGACTCTTGATCAATTTCCTTGGACAAACATTTATGCCACTGGAGAAATTGTAATTTTCAAAGTAGATTCTGAAGCGCCAATATCTTTCACACAAAAAACGTCCTCTTGTCTCAATGCTCTAAAGTGAACAATTTCCGAGAAAAATGGCTCGTTATGAATAAGAACATACAAAATCCTGATGGTATCTCCAAAAATCGTCTAAAAATCCACTGGAAATAAACACCTCAGAACTGTCCAATAATATCAAATGTCAGGTTCTTGAGTATGCTGGTCTCGATGCTGGTTTTCAAATTGTTAAGTTTATTGAGTGTTGTAAAGTGTGTTTAATTAAACTGAACATTTTTGATTTTTTGACGCCATGTATCTCGAAAACGAAAGCCCGGAGAAAAATTTTGAATAGGAAAGAAATGTTTCTTTTATTATGAGGAATCTACAGTTTTCCTTTGTGACACTTACTTGTTAACACCCTGTATAAAGTGTCCAATCACAAAATAAGAAGAGCAAGTAGTTGTAAATGCATCCTACACAGGGGAAAAAATAAGGCAAAATTTCGAACTTTTTCTTGAAATATCTCGAAAAATAGCGGTATGTTCCATTATCATTATCAAATTCGTGTTTTTCAGACAAAAATACGTAAGTACCAAAACAAATTTTCGAAAAAAAAACACCACATGATAAGTGCAGTGTTACCCTGATTTTTTATATATAGCGTTCCTGAACGATATTGGGACAATTCAGCATTTAGGAAAGAAACACTTGCGATATTATTCATTTATACGAATCGTTGCATAGATTTCGGGAGAGGAAAGTAGTTGCTGAGGTAGTTATACATAACTAGAACTGGGATGACGTAAACCTCTCTTTCTAATACTTGTACACTTTTTTATTGAATACAACTGTACATCAAGAATTAAGGGTCTCAAGATGCGAAATTCATCTCAAAAACGAAGCGGGCTATGAACATTATGTTTGCGGTATAGTTCGCGATCAGAACAAATATCTATCTTTGAAAAATGAATGAGTTATTCCGAAAGAACATCCCAAATGAGACACCCTGTACATATGGAAAGGGGTAATTATTGTGTCATTTTAGGGCTAATAGTACGTAATTTGATCAAACAACTGCTGAATATTCAAGACCCGAATTTAGTTTCACGCGGAAATAAAAAAAACGAAACAAAACAAATCGGGACTAAATGAATGACCGTTCTCCGTGAACCATCAACCAAAGCTGACGTCACACTATGATTACGTCAGAGCACAATGTGGTCAGAGCCTACTGGCCGCGTTGCATCGGTGGTAAAACCGTTTACCCCACATCTCAGCGCAACGCCAGTGACCCAAACCAGTCGAACACCCTGTGTATGATTTAGGCATCGCCAAACGGCGACGGCGCCTTTCCTTGATATCGACCACCCCTCGGCTTGTCACTCTCAGAAACGGGTAGTGCAAAGTAAACGAAAACATGGTTTTCCTCGATTTCGTCTGTTTCCAATTATCCAGTTTCCAGATGGGTGTCTATAGATAGCGAATCGTCAACTGGTAAATATTTTCATAATCCCCATACCTATTTACTTTTATGTCAACAAAAAACAGTTTCGTTATGCAAAATTGTAGGTATTAGAGGACTAGACGGAGGTATGAAAAATATTTTCACTCTCAGACGAAAAACAGCGCGAACGGAAATATGTCCTGTTAATAAAAATAAATTAGAAGTAAAAATAGTTATTTATTATACAAGGGAAAAAAGTAGTAGATTTTAGCTCCAGGTTGTGTTGTCTCCCGACGCGTAGCGGAGGGAGACAAAAAACCGTGAGCTAAAATCTAATATTTTTCCCGTGTATAATACACTATTTTTTTCTGTGACAGAAGGAAGGACGAATCAATATTGAGAAGATATTACATTATTTCGAAATCTGAAAATTATCGACGTGAAATTTCAAGTTTTCAACAGTAGGGACACCTGCGTTTTATAGACATCTTTATCATTCTTTTGAAGTAATCAAATATCTGATGTCACTTCTGTCAGTTCAATTCTGTGATTCGATTTCGGAAAATTGCGAATTCAGTAGTTGTTTAGTAATATACGAAACAGCGAAGTCGAATGGAAGATAGAAGGACTTGCAGTTCTTTCTCGGAGACGGTATTATTGACTCATTTTTCGGAACTATAGCACAACAAAAGCCATTAACAGAGTATATATATGTGATATATCCGGGAAAGAAGTACTCACTTTTTTCCCACGGGAAAAAAGTAATTTATGAAAAGTGACATTTTATAACCTGCCAACAGCGATGAAATGCCAAACTTTTTTCCCGTCACAGAAAAAAAAATTGTAATAAAAAGCTTTCATTTAAACGCTCTAAAGAGAATGAAATGAAATGTTCCTTTTTAATTTTAACTATCAACTTATAACCTCATTATACACAATTTATATGATCATAAAAGCTTGTCGCGATGATCAATATTGAATTAAATTGAAGTTTCAAAAATTTAAACTCAGTAAATTTTACAATATTGAATTAGTACTAGTTTATTCACACAATTATAAGTTGATAGTTAAAACTATAAAGGAACATTTCATTTCATTCTTTTTAGAGCATTTAAATAGAAGCTTTTTATTAAATTTTTTTTACTTCTAATTTATTTTTTAATTTTTAGTTATCGCTGGCTAGGTTTCTCAGTTTCATCATTTCATTCAACGCATCATTTTTGCAAGGTCGGTTGCCGGTTAATTTCGAACAGTCCAGCTGTTCAATAAGGAGACCTTCTAGAATAATTTTACACATTATTTTTCGAGTTGCTCTCAACGAGCCCTTTCATTTGATACCCATATTGTGGAAGTGTATGAAAAATAACTATTTCGCCATCTTGGATGGTCTGCCGAGTTACTCCCAACGAGCCCTTTCATTTGATACCCATATTGTAGAAGTGCATTAAAAATAACTATTCCGCCATCTTGGATGGTCCGCCATATTGGATTTAGAATAACTCCACACACCTTATCGTGCATTGTCATCCAAACTAAACGTAAAATTGAGTTCAAAGATTCCAACCGAACTAACATACATTGCAAGTTTAATAATAATAATAACTTTCAATGAAAAGGCACTAATCAAATGAAACAAGCGTTGAGGATTTGACACGAAAACAGATTTTTATAGGTGATTATGATTTTCTCTTTTCCTGGAGCGTTCATTCGATTTTGATCTTGATTTTCTTTTGTAATTGTTCATGAGATCTTCAACAATTCAATAACTGTCAGTGATTTTTCCATAATTCAATTTTCACAGTATACAGGGTGCTGGAACAGATGCTTTATTTATTCAAGATTTTCATTTTCATAAAACGCTCTAGGAATTTGAGAGCAATTTTTTTTTATCGCTTGGAGCGCACGAGAGGGAATCCCTATAATGTTCAAAGAACATCGTGCGTTCCTAGGGAGGATAGGGACAGGAGGTAGGTATTGGAATTTTTTTTGAACTTTTGGATTTTGATTGATGTATGATTTCTTTGAATCTCCATTTTGGCATTTTATGTCTATAGATAATAGTATATTAGAATACCCGATCTGGTCTGATTGGCACCGCAAGGAGTCAGAAAACCAAGGAACATAAAAGAAGAAGAATAATAGTATATTATTCGACAAGCATATAATGAAAGCTATTATTCACGAAGGTTAAGTTTATGGCATGATAGAAGCGAGTGGCATAATTAACCCGAGTAAATAAAAGCTCATTATATGCGAGTCGAATACTATTCTTTGTCCACGACTACTATTGACTTTGATATATAAATTTATTTTCAACTACTGTTTTATCAAATAGTTCTCTTCTGTTGAATAAGCCGAGAAAGAATTGATATTTTTATCACATAGAGAATGCGAATTCTCAATGTATTTCTTTATACAGTGTGACCCACTTCTAATGGAACCACCCCTGTATCTTACGTAATCGTTGGGTGAGGATCCTGAAATTTGCTGGAGCAAGAGATATACCAAAAATGCACTCTATGACCAAGTGGGGTCATCTTCAGTGATATACACTGCTCGCCAACAGCCATGAAACTACCCCAATTTCCGGAAAATGATATTAGGAGTCAAAATAGGTCAAAATCACTTCAGATTTGGAATCAGGACGCCCAATTTACTAACTATTCAAATTTTTCCTGGAAAATTTTCAGTTCAGAAAAATGAAATTTTGTCGCATTTTTTATGGAGGCACCCCCGTATCTCACGTAATAGACTTTATCTTTGGACTTTCTCTTCCTCTGGTAAATTTCAGAACCCTACCTCAATAATTACGAGATATGTTCTGGTTCCTACGAAAAGGGATATCCTGTGTAATGTTCAGAGAACATCGTGAGAACGATGGGAAATAAGGTAGGAATTGGTGTTCTTCCAAATTTCTGGAGGTTATATGCCTCGGGGAACACCTCCCTTGGTAATGTGTTCCAGAGCCTCGCTGTTCATTGGATGAACGAGTCTTTGGAAAGAGATGTTCTGCAGGTCACCAAAGTGACCACGAAGGGGTGTGAAGCCTCAACTCGACGGGTTAATCTCGCAGGGACTGCCAAGGGAGGAACAATTATTGATATTTCAGAAGAGCATCGTCCATGAAAATATCTATAAAATAGTGCCAGATCACCAACTTTTCTAAGGTTTTCCAGAGAAGTGAGTTTGTTTGTGAGCGAGACATCACCCACGAGACGAATTGCCCTTTTTTGGACAGAATCCAACAGTTTCAGGGTATTTTTGGGTGCTGCACTCCAAATATGGGAACAGTATTCCACGACAGGTCGGATCTGTGCCTTATAGATCATAAGCAGCTGACTGGAAGTGAAATAGCTCCTGGCCCGAAACAGAAAACCAAGTTTTTGGGATGCACTTTCAGCAATTGATCTCTCGTGATTTTCCCAAGAAAGGTTATTGCTGATAGTAATACCAAGCATCGAAATGGATGTCTTCAAAGCTATGGTTACTCCTGACAAGCTTATGTTGGGCACAGTGAGATCGGCTTTTCTAGAGAAAAGGCATACTCGTGTTTTGTCTGCATTGAAATCTATCAAGTTATTGGATCCCCATTCGAGAATTGTTGCCAAGTCCATATTTATGTTGTCAACATTTCTTCCTCGTTCGTTTCTGATTTGCCTGGCTGGTATTGGAGCCCTGGAGGAGAAGGCGGTATGGAGAGTACTATCATCCGCGAAGCTGTGTACTAGACATGCAGTTGCTTCCAACAAATCGTTGATAAGGAGTAGAAATAGTGTTGGTGCTAGAATTGATCCTTGCGGAACATCAGCATTTATGATAAGAGAGTCAGATGAAACTCCGTCGACCACTACATGGAGAGACCTGTTCGAGAGAAAACTAGCTTGCAGAGAACATAGCTGGGGAGGCAAGCCATAAGATGGAAGCTTGGCGAGGAGTCCGTGGTGCCAGACTCGATCGAATGCCTTGGAGATATCAAGTGCCACGGCTGAGGTTTCACCAGATTTTTCGATAGATTGCTGCCATATATGTGAGACGTAAGCGAGCAGGTCACCAGTTGATATCTGATGACGGAAACCATACTGCCTATCGTTGATAATAACTGAATGTTCCAGGTATTTCACGAGCTCGATGTTGATAGCTGTCTCTATGATTTTTGAAATAATAGATAGCAGTGCGATCAGTCTGTAGTTGCTAGGTTTAGGTCTTTTTGCCTTTTTTAAGAACTGGTTGTACTCTTGCAATTTTCCAGTTGGACAAGAATATCACCAATTTGTAAGAGTAGTTGAACAACTTGCAGAGAACAGGTGTTAGTTCGAGAGCAAATTTCTTGAGAACAATCGGCGGGATTCCGTCGGAGCCACAAGCTTTGTTGGTGTTGAGACCCAATAAAATCGTCCTTATAATACGTTGGCGAAAAGTGATCTCGGGCATATGACTATTGCGAAAAAATGTTGGCTTTCTCCTGGGCAGTTGTGGCTAGTGTTCCATCTTCCTTGGTAAGAGGAGGAAACGAGCTGTAAGTGGAGTTTCTTCCTACAGCTTTGGCGAAGGACCAAAATGAACGGGATCCGTAAGGACATTCAACAAGTTTTGATCTTATTTTGAAGAGTACAAGAGTACACCTATTCTCTTTTCACGTGTTGCTATCATTTCTGAAGATTTCATTTTTGAATGGACTGGTCAGAAATTGTACTGGGTTTGTTCAAATTGGATTCCTCGTTATTACCCGAATATTTTGAAGTACTTATGGTATTACTAGTGTTAATATTTTTCTATCATCCGACGGGTATGACAATTAAAGGGCTACACATTATTTCTAGCTCTCAAATAAGCATCAGCAATTTCAAAAATATACAGGGTATTGATACAACATTATTCAGGTCATCAGCCTGAGAGACTCGAACCTCCCCTTAGGGTATTTTCTAAAGATGTGATGAAACTTCAAAACGGTATTAAGAGGAACATTATGCATCATGATATTAATTGAGTACCGTCATACATATACATACCCAATTACTCATATTCAGAAGCGTTCATGAGAATCACGTTTCATGAGATTTCAAAAATGTTCATCATCATGTTATTCATCTATATGAGCTGCCATTTTCGATAAAAATGGGTTACATGTATAACAAGTTAATTTATTTATTTTCCAGATTTTCTCCAGAAGGAATGGAAGCTGACGTCAAAAAAGTGAGGTTGACATATCTACTTTGGATTCCAATTCTCGTATGCTGTGCGATGTTATTCTACGTAGACGTATTCCAAGTCCAATACTACAACATCATTCAATCCAACCAAATATCAGACCTAAACTTGGACAAGAAAACACTAGAGGGCTTTCTCATAAATACCCCAGGATGTCGAATACCTGACATGGACCCATTTGACGAACACATTAAAAAGTATATGGAGATCCCCAAAGTCCCATTATGTAACAAGGGAATACCCCCTTTGTTTGCATCTAACCTGTCTTCCGTCTATTTGTTAGAATCTTCTATGGATGCTTATGACGTAACGGATATTGATGAGTTGAAGTGTTGTTACAAGCCGTTCTGGAGGAAAACTCCGACCGAAGGCCAAAATGATAATAAGATAACGTACAGCGAGAATTGCTATAATTTCTCGAGAAGCGTAACTGTCAAGGAGGAATGGATCAAGATCATTTGTACTCATAACGACAGTACCATTTACGAAGACCTCTTTAGTTTCATACCTGTCAAAATACACGACACAACCACCTCAGGCGATTCGTTGAACATCCTCATATGGGGCGTGGATGCAGTATCTAGACTAAACCTACACAGACAGATGCCAGAGACTGTCAAACAGCTCAAACAAATCGGAGCTGTAGAGCTTCTGGGTTACAATAAAGTAGGGGACAATACCTTTCCAAATTTGATGCCAGTTCTAACTGGGATGACAGAGAAGGAATTGACGGAAAACTGTTGGCCCAAAGAAAACGCGTTCTTCGACGACTGCCCTTTCCTTTGGAAGGATTATAAGAAGAAAGGGTTCGTAACCGCATACGGTGAGGATTCCTCGTGGATGGGGTTGTTCAACTACCAACGGAACGGTTTTCAAAACCAGACTGTGGACTATGCTTACAACTATTTCAATAGAGAAAGTGAAAGAGCGCTGGGGAATTCTCATAACATGAATGTGGACGAATGCGTGGGAGGTAGATTGGTATACAAGGATTTCCTAGAATACATTAAACGATTTGTGATAACAATGGACGGGAACAGTTTGCCTTATTTTGGGTTCTTTTGGGCTGTCGGGCTATCCCACGATTATTTGAACAAGCCCAAGCTTGGTGATGGAGACTACGCCACATTACTCAAAACTCTCAAAGATGGTGGCCACTTAGAGAACACCGTTCTTATTTTAATGAGCGACCATGGAATACGATGGGGCGCCATAAGAGAAACGTTTCAGGGGATGATGGAGGAAAGACTGCCTTTTGTGTTCATGGTGTTACCAGAATGGTACAAATACAAATACCAAAAAGCTTATCAGAACTTGATGATCAACGAACGTAGACTAACCACTCCTTTTGATCTGCACGAGACCCTGCTGGATTTGTTGCACCCGTTCAATCTCACGGAGGAAAATCTGGAAGCTTCAGGAACATCCAATAAGCGACCAAGAGGTGTTAGCTTTTTCAGATCGATCAGCAAAAACAGAACTTGCGAGGAAGCTGGTATAGCGAGCCATTGGTGTACTTGTCAGCAGAGTGTAGAAGTGGATGCTAACGCAACGAACGTTTTGGAAGCAGCAGCTTTCGCTGTGGGAAATATGAACCAGCAACTCAAAGGATACGCCCAGTGTGCCATCCTCAACCTGGATGCGGTGCTGAGCGCTAGACTGATGACGCATACTGAGGAGATAACCGGTGAACATAAAATACAGGACTACATGCTAACGCTGAGGACTCTGCCAGGTGCTGGTGTTTTCGAAGTTACTGTGAGGTATATGGAGGAGAAGAATACTTACAGTATTACGGGAACAATAAGCAGATTGAATCTGTATGGGCAACAGAGCTCTTGCATTACAGATTTTCATCTGAAGCTGTATTGTTATTGTAAAAGCTTACTGTCGCATGGGTTTTCGTGAAGTTGAAGGAAGTAATGTGTTATATCTGGTTTACACCAAACACCACCATCTAGTCATTTTATTTGAGTCGATATTATTATAATGGAATATTACAAGACTTGAACTGTTGATTACCTATATGTGCGTAGTAGTAAACAGTTCCTTTAAATGAAAGGACGTAGGTCCCTACCTGTGCTGGCTGTGCTATACGTTTTTTTTTTCAATTAGCAAACAAAATTTAGCTAGAAAAGCGATTCGAATGTAGTGTATTAATGAGGCCAATTAATATTCGAAATATTTAAACGTGCGAGCGAAGTGAGCACTTTAATTTTCGAAATCATTGCTCGGCTTATTTAATAAATAAACGATTTGGTTACAAAATTTTCTTGTCGACTATATTCTTCCTGCAATGAAGAAAATTTGGTTCGCGGATTCATTATTCATCTGGAAACTATTTAACGATAACCCAGTAGCCATGAAAGTCAACTTATCAATTACATTATAGTAACATTTTACATTTTTCGAAATCATCAACGTGGAAAATAAATTCAAACTTGTTTACGAAGTCGAATGAAATGGTAGTTTACCTACCAAGTGCGGAAAGTGATACTTTTCAACAAATTAATTATTATTAATAATATTGATCGTGCAATTTGTAGGATACTGCAAATTAATTGCAGAGGCTAAAATGTTTCCCAATGAAGTCCGAGATTTCGGTTTTCCACGGCTTCGTCACTTTTCCACACTAGTGCGGAAAAGTTGCTCTTTTAACACAAAACTGAGTGCAGTAGAAAAAATATTAATGATCACATTCCAGACATTCTGACGTAAAAACAAAATTGCAGGGGATCAATCGAAAATACCGAGAGCGCTTACATCATACATTGTTCCCATTGCGATATATGTTCTCTGAATATTCTCTATATATACAGGGTGTCTCGAACATAAAATGAGAAATACTCTGCTTCATCTCTCGATCCAAATCATTATGCGTAAGGTACAAAGTTATAGTATGCCATGGATAATTGACGGCATTTGAAAAAAATCAATTTGACACTTGTCTCTGTCATCATGTATTAATGAATTTGCATATTGCGTAACTAATAATATGTTTTGAAAGTACAGTCAAATGCAAAGAAAATGTCGTGGTTGGATGGTGTTAGCACTCTTATTGCAGAAGTGACTAGTAGTGCTATCACCGCCCATTAGCATGGACACACTGTAGGTATATCGATGCCAAGAAAGTGTGCTGAAGCCAATATATTTCGCCTTCCATGCAGGGAAGGAAATATTTACTCCCTTGATATATAAATAGCTAATATCATTGAAAAGACAAGACTGAGAATTGACTATTTGATAATGGGGTTGAAATTTTCAACTGTGCATGTCGTGATGTCGTGGATGTAAACCAGGTCGTTATTTCCTATTTATTTGTATGTACAGGGTGAGTCAGTTGTAGCTGGACTTCAACAGCTGAGAGAAGACATTTTTTTAGATGATAATTTTATATAAACATATATTCTTGGGAGCTTCGTTTCCGATACACAGGATTTGAAAGTTCAAGATTTTTTTGTGTTTATCCAATTCCCTCCTGCAATTTGAAAAATAATAAAATGAACTTTGGTACACATATCACACTTTGAAACGCAATATTTGAGGCTATCGAGCGTTCTTGACTATACACTTTTGAGGGTCGTACCCGAATTAACCCTTTCGAACTTTTTTGCGTACCTACCCCCTCTCTGTTTTCTATGAATCATAATTTAGATTCTGCCTTCAATTAGGATTCTTTTTGCTCCCTTTTGTTTTTCGAAAACTTCATGGGTATCAAGAAGAATGCCAACAATAATTTATTATAGTAATGTAACTTTATTTTTCAGGGTCCGTATTTTTTAGCAGAATTTCAATAGCTTAAAAATAGTTATTCATTATACAAGTAAAAACAGTAGTAGATTTTAGCTTTTTAGCTCGAGACAAAACACCGTGAGCTAAAATCTAATATATTTTTTCCGTGAATAATGAATACACTTTTTTTTGGACAGGAAAAAGGACGAATCGATATTTGAGATCGATGTAAAATTTGAAGTTTTCAACCGGAATTACACCTGCAGGCATCTTCATCATTCTTCTGAAGTATTCAAATATCTGTCAGGCTATTCATGTGATTTGATTTCAAAAAATTAGGAACTTAGTGGTTGTTTATTAATTAGATGGGTAGTAAATCGCAACAACTTCTTATCAGGACCATATTTTGACAAATTGATATCATAAGATTGGAGTGAACAAATATAATTAAATTATATTTCAATATTTAAGAATAATATAATTATGTTTCTACAAAGTAGGTACTAAGGGTAAAACAACGAAATTAACTTTTCCATGAAAAATATTGAAGGAAAAATTGTTCACTAGTGTTTACCCGTCGAAAGTCGAAAGATTTTTTTTTCTCTATTGTGGGGGCCCTTTTTTTGTGGAGGCCCCGGGGCTGTATAGCCCCGGATGCCCTCCCCTAAATCCCACAGCTAGGATGATACACTATTGGGGTCTTGCAAACATTGAAACCATGTGTATCGGAAAAGAAGCTCCCACGCATACGTTTATAAAAAAATTTATTCATCTTGAAAAAATGTCTCATTTAAGCTGTTGAAGTCCTACTACAAAAAAACTGACTCACCCTGTATATAGGTACCATGAATTTTGGCTGTGCAATGAATAGAATAACATTTCATAGGATAGTTGTGTTAACCCTCGTAATGTGTATACTATTTTATGTTTGTATAGCATTGAGTAGTCGTATTATACAAAATGTATTTTTGTAAACAAATCATGAAAATTCAACGCTATTCATAGTGACAATATTATCTTGAAACCAGTGATTTCCCAGAGTGTACAAGAATATACTATAAGTAATAAATTATTGAACATCATAATTTAAATATAATTTCTTCTGTGAATACTCCTCCGTTATTAAGGGTTCAGTAATTTGTGTCCTAAATAATTCGGAATTCAACATTTGGCAATACAACAGAGAGAGTAGGGCCAGAAAACCTGAAAGATTGTTCTCCCAACGTACTCCTTTTATTTCGCCAAGAGATTACCCAGACAACACAAAGTGGTCCTGAGAACTTTCTTAGCTGTGGAAGATTCCGAATATTCTCAGAATGTTCTCACAAGGTGCACTGAACGTTCTGAGAATATTCTAAGAACATGCAAATGGGACGAAAATTCACGTTCCAAGAACGTTCCCATATATTTTTCAGAACTTTCTCAGATTATTCTATGAATATATAGAACATCCTCAAAATGATCTAGGAATATTCCCAGTATACAGGGTGTTTTGAAGGGCATTGAAAATATTTCAGGAATCGATATAGTAGGAAAATATACGAAGCCCTGGAAGGAAAAATAAAAACTCCCAAATTCTGAGTTATAACTCATCAGGTAGGATAGGAAGAAAGTAATTGGAGAAATTAGCGGTAAATTTGGATCAACTTGACCCCATTGCTACCGCAGATGAGCATGAGAAATCAGCGAAAAGGATTTTGAATAATCAATGAAAAATCGATTTTTTCCGAAAAATTTGTTTATAAGAAACAAACATTTTTCTCTTTCTCAGAGTACCTATATAAATAATAAATTATATGAACATACCTGGAGAACATGCCTAGAACATTCCATGATCATAGCATAATAACATTCATAGAATATATAATGGAATATTCAAGGCAGGTTCTAGGAATTTTGGATGAAATGTATCATGAACATTCTCGTGAAACATTCTATGAATATTCAGAACACCTTCATCATATCCTATGAACGTTTTTCGAAATATTTTGAAGGAGCTAGGTATGTTGTGAACGTTGTGAGAATATTCATAGAATATTCTGTGCTGTCTGGATAGATATACCGGGAGAAATATAACCATAGGGTGAGCCACAATAGGCCATTGGCCGCAGTGGAGGTCCTGACATGGGCCCACTCACGTTTAAACCTAACCTAACCTAACTAAATTAACTATATACAGGATGGGACGAGTTTTTCCCCATATAATCGAAGCATTTAACATTTTGCTTCCACCGTTTATTGATTCCTTCATCTTATTTTTAAAAACATAAATCATACATCCCAATAACCGTTTCAAATGTGATAGAATAGTACATTGTTTTATTAGGATCAAATGTGATACTTATTTGTTTGACAAGCGATATTTGCGAGTCAAACAGAGAATAAAACCAAGTTTGCAGATTCGAGAGACCTATATATGCTTAAAGTGTGGTAATAAGTACTCGAAAAACCTCGAAATTTTTCGACTCAACCCACTTAAATTTTTTTCATGAATATTTATATACAGGGTGTTCATTTCAGGACTTCCCACCCTAATTTTCTCGGAATGTGTGTATGTTTTTGAAAAATCCCGAGACACGTCAACTACATTTTCGAGGGGGACATGGTTCTAAAATATTTTCAGCCCCGCGGCGTTGCCGCTTCTAACGAAAAGAAGCAACAACTTTGTTATTTCAAATGGAACACCCAGTATTTTATTGCATTTTTAGATTCTCCCTGAAAAGCTGATTTCATCAATGTATCACACTTGGGGTCTAGCAGGAATGATTACAGAGATATAGGGTGTTCAAAATCGAGATTTTACAACTTTAGGATTTTTTTGAGTCGAAACTATTCATTATTGGTCAAAACGGCTTTCATGTCCCTATCTCAACTTTTGATTTACTATATCTACTGACATTTATTTGAAACAAATACAGGGTGATCAAAAGTCTGAATCTTGAACCACCCTGTATTTGTTCAGCTTGTATCAGCTTTTCAGGGAGAATCTAAAAATGCAATAAAATACAGGGTGTTCCATTTGAAATAACAAAGTTGTTGCTTCTTTTCGTTAGAAGCGGCAACGCCGCGGGGCTGAAAATATTTTAGAACCATGTCCCCCTCGAAAATGTAGTTGACGTGTCTCGGGATTTTTCAAAAACATACACACATTTCGAGAAAATTAGGGTGGGAAGTCCTGAAATGAACACCCTGTATGATACCACGATGGCGCGCTCTGTACGATGGCTCTGTCATCGAATCGAATCTATTCGTGATTTCTCCCTCTGCCTACCATTGTAAACCATCTAATTAGTGCTTTAACTCCTTCATCAAATATATACTGGGTGACCGAGTTTCATGTCATTTGATGGAATTCATGGAATGGTTGAATTTCCATCAGCGAGGGGGGGGGGGGGTGACTTTTTAGCTGGGACTAGCTGGGATGTGTGTACACAGGGTTACTCAAGTCGACACTATTGCTAACTTGGTTATTATTGGAGTCGGTTAAATGGACAAACTAGTAGTAGGTACCTATTTGTCCGCTGATTACGAAGTTCAATTTTTTTAAATGGGACACTCAGTATATATACAATATTTTCAATCGATAGTATATTCGATTCTGAACAAAAACAGTCCTATAAACTTTTATCCTAAATTCAAAAATGACTAAACAATCGACGATTACTTTTTACTTTTATGTCAAAAGGTACTTTTTTCTCAAATGAGACACCCAGTATTAAATATTCTTAATTGATAGAAAATTCGATTCTGAACAAAAACTGCCCCATAACCTTTCATCGTAAATTCAAAAATGACTGAGATATCGACGATTTCTTTTTACTTAACACATTCACTTCAACGAAAAAGCATCGATAGCTCAGTCATTTTGAATTTACGATGAGAGGTTAAATGAAGCAGTTTTCGTTCAGAATCGAATTTTCTATCAATAACTATAAAGAATATTATTTACTGGGTGTCCAATTTGAGAAAAAAGAACTTTTTGACATAAAAGTAAAAAGGAATCGTCGATAGCTCAAGCATGCTCAAGTCATTTTTGAATTTAGGATAAAAGTTTATAGGACTGTTCTTGTTCAGAATAAAATATATCCTATCGATTGGGAATATTGTATACTGGGTGTCCCACCCGTATAACAGTGTGCATGGCCATCCAAAATGAGAGTGATTTTATTCTTGGACTGTTATCATGACCAACTGCGACCAACTTTATTGACCTAGTAGCTGTCGCCAGCCCGGCTTCGCACAGTGCATGTAGACATTCATAAAAGACATTTTCCGGTATAATTGAATTCTTTATTCATTATTCTAAATTTTTTGGGATTTTCTCTCCTCGTTTCTATAAAATAAAAATATGAATATTATTTCAATATACGTGTAGTAAGGACAAATCAGATGATTTGCCCCAAAATGTCACTGCGTTTAAAGAATTTTCCTATCAGAAAGCCTAAAAGAAAAATTCACTAGCTTGTCAGTGACAATTTGTATTGAAAAAATTTTTGGAGAAGAGAAATAAAGGTATATAGAAAAAATATCAAATTTTCACTTATCTTTGGACGTTTCGGGACCGGTTCTGCTCCCGTTTTTAACATGAAAATAGATTATTTCAAAGCGAAGTCGTATAATATGTCTTGAAGCTTTTCAGTTTTCAAACTGAAAAGGAGAGAAAATCCCAAAAAATTTAGAATAATGAATGTACCACCTCCTCGATTAACCTACAGACAGTATTGAATTCTTTATGATAATCCCAAACCGATTATGGTATAAAATAAAGCGAGGGTGTCCCATTTGAAACACGATAGTTGGGGTAATTGGCGGTCAAACCGGAAGTACATATATGGAATTGAACTATAATTCACGTCCTCCAAATTTCGTTATAGGTACTACATTCAATAATAAAAGTTTTATAGAGATAAGTCACCTTGGGAAATCACCCGGTAAAGTGATTTTACTGATATGGATAGGTTCGAAATATAGGTAGCACTATATACGGGGCATAACTATCAAAAAATAGGGAAGCAAGAACCAACTCATTTTCTCTCTGTCATGACCTCAGTTGGCTAATAATCTCGTTTCATACCCAGGTAGCACAGTGACCTAAGAAGACGTCATAATAACGTCGTTTTTTTGTCATTTTTTGACCAAAACACCCCTAAAAAGTTCTACATTCTACCGTCCAACCGAATAAGATATTCAGTCAAAAGGAAGAAGGAAAGCTCAAAGTCATCTCCACTACTTTATTACTGATCGAACAAGGGAACATGTTTCGGGCTTATAGAAGTCCATCTTCAGCCATTTTTAGAAGTTAATGGAGGTGAAACAATATTTTGAATTGGATGCAGATGTCTATCTTCAAAATATCGTGGTTATATTATGATGATTTTTTAGAATAGGAGAAGTCAGTATTTTTTATACATTTTTAGATTGTAGGTATAGGCATATATCTCCATATATTATTACCTACAGAAGCATATAACAAAAACTAACAGAGGTAGGTATATGTTATACCAACAGAGGTGCTTACCATAGATATGAATATATATTTTTTGTGCACATCATAACTCCATAAGTATATTTTTAATGGAATTGTTTACAAGTGATCTGTGTGAAAATAATTAGCACCTATACTAAAACAAAATACATAATATTCAATCAAAATAGTCCTCAATATCAATATCAGGATTCAAAATATCATCTCCATAGGAAGACAAATCAATCTGATTCAATATTAAATTCTCTGCCATTTCTTCCAAATCAGTTTCACCTATCAAAACAGCACCTTGTAGTCGGTTATCCTCCAAAACAAACTTGATATATTCATGTCCCTTGGTCATTCTTATGAGCATCTCATAATTCCTCCCTAACTTTTGTCCATTGAACAAACCAAGTAAAATAACTTTATAACCAAATAGTTTGGTGGAGTGAGTGAAAATTTCAAAACAAAAATCTTGTAATACTTCCTCCTTGTTCATATGTCCAGTGATACATCTTGCAGCATAACTCCCCATCTGTCTGGCTTGTGTCCAAAGCTTCATTTGGAACCAGTGCTTAGCTAAAGGCCAGTTAGCACAACAAACATCTCCTGCAGCATAAATGTTAGGCAGATTTGTTTGCATGTATTCATTAACTTGAATTTCTCCAATTTCTGATAGCACCAGAGGGTTCTTCATGTTGAAATGTTTCCTAGCAATTACACCTGTAGCAGAAATGATCAAATTGCAAGAGATTTTCTCCCCAGAATTGAGCAAAACTTCTAGAGGAAACTCTGAGTGATCTACTTTGATGACATCAGTTATTTCTGACTCATAATGTACTTTGATTTCAGATGGAATTTCCAGTTTACTGGCACCTCTGATCACAAGATTTCTGTACCAATCTGGACCCAATGCTGCACCAGATTTACAAAAATCTTCTTCTTTGTATCTCATCCTTCTACTGACAGGTTCATCTTCAGTTTGCTGATTTTTGAGGCTGGGTTGAAAAAATTCAGCAGCACCTGGGTCCACAAAAGTGGCAGAGATGTGTTTATCTTTGATCACCCAGTGAATGTCTATGTTCTTGATTTTGTATGCCAATTCAGAAGCTATTCCTCCATTGCCAACAATGATCACTCTTTTAGCATCCTTGATTCTTTCAATGAAATATTCTATTGAATCTGTATCCCTAATACCAATTATTTCTTTGAAACTATTTGCTTGGGGGATCAATCTGGGTTCAGCTCCAGTGCATATACACAAATACTGGTATTTGATAATTTTGTTCAGTTGTGTTTTGATCATATGATCCTCATCATTGATTTCTATTACAGTATCATGCATTACAGAAACATTAGGATGTTTGGAAACAAAGTCATCTGTATGCACTTCTTCAATATCAAATTCTGTGAGTACTTTAGTAATAGCATGTAGATTGGTAACAGTTTTGATAAGTGATGATTCACTGATTAACAAAATTGATTTTTCTGGCTCAAAAAAGGCTAAAGTTTCTACACAGGTCACTCCTGCTATGCCCCCTCCAATAACAACAAATATAGGATCCATCATTTATTCTTGTGGTGTGTAGAATTCAGAATAATCATACTTTCTGAATGGAACATCAAATGTAATCAAGCCCTTATCATAAGCACGTTTAATACAAATAGAAAGCTCCTGATGTTTTCTCTGGCACAATCCAGTTTTGTTAAAGCTCAAGATACTTCCAGTATGAGGACATATGAATTGCTTCAGCAAGCCAACGTTTTCCTCGTGTAGAATTAGGTATTCATCCCTACAGATAGGACATGGATTACCAGTTGAAACTTGACCTCCTCTAATACAAGTTTTTCTAGTTTTCCGTGGTGGGATCATACCCTTATGATTCCGTCTATACAAAATCCAAACTGGTTTGTTCTCGTAGGTCTTCTGATAAGCCACACTATTTAGATATCTGATACTAGTTTCCACAGGGATCTGTTCAGATCTATCTTTTGTGATTTCTCTGGTTTCAAGAATGGGTTGATCATTATTAATTTGGCACCTACATATATTTGACGTAAAAAGAGATCTTGCCCATACACTGGAATTCAAATGTTTCTTTACAACAGAATTTATCACCATATAAGAAAGGGAAGAAAGCATTTTCGAGTTTTTAATTTGTAACATAACCTACAATACGACTTGGCAGGTAACATGACAGCAGACAGATTGACGATTTTGTCTTCTTCTTCTCTTCACTTTGAATGGCCTTAGCTGCCTGGGCTATCCGGCCAAGTACATGCTTTCTAGTGATCTAGTGATATTCTAGTGATTATCCTCAATGGGTCCATAGATTAACGACTCCCCATGGGTCTGAAGAATCATAGTTTTTCATTCTTAGAAGGTCTTCACCGAATTGAAGTAAACACTCTGAAACTATGAATGATTTACTAGATATGAAAATAGTATAATGATAATGTGTAACGAGTACGGAATGTACGAAGCTCTGGGAGGGCCACTTCTATATATTTTTTAAAATCTCGAGTTTGTAAAGTCGAGATCTCGAGTTCTCGAGTTGTGAAAGTCGAGATCTCGAGATCTCGAGTTGTGAAAGTCGAGATCTCGAGATCTCGAGTTTACAAAGTCGAGAACTCGAGATCTCGACTTTACAAAGTCGAGATCTCGAGTTTGCAAAGTCGAGAACTCGAGATTTAATTTGTTGTGGTGAACTTGTGATGCGAGAACGTCAAGAGATATGTCATTATGTCAACCTGACACCTGCCGCCATAATTCTCTATACCTGCCGCCAAATTCCAAAAAGAAGCCATCTAAACTCGGATCTGTTGACTTTCCTGCTGTGTGTAGTGTGGGTGGATTGAAGAATGATGGCTAGATATTAGGTAATAATTAAATTGCATTGATATACCATGCAGGAATAAGATAAAAACAAATAAATAATAATAATATAATTAAAATCAATGTTGTGGCTTTGGTTCTGTGATTCTGTATAGGTCCTGCACAAGTTTGAATCAATTACATTGAGTTCATTGGTTTGAATCCTCTGTCGGCTCTGCCGTAGGAAGTAGAACTGCTAAAGTGGCTAATGGTCCATGTGAAATGTCCATGGCCCATATTATGTTTATATAAGTTTATAATAAAAAAAATATTTTGAGGTTAGGTTTGGGAACTCCACTTGAAAACGTAGATGATGAATTAGATGAAAAATCTCCAGCTTGCAAAAATTCAAAATAAGCAGAAAAAATTAATAATTGAATGAATGTTGTTTTGAAGAATCATTAAATAACACTTGAAATTTTGCTTCTCACTACCTCACTAGTCACTACCCAAGTCAAGCTTTTATTTAAACGCTCTACAATAAAGAAGAAAATTATTTTAAGTATTTCTGTATCTCCAATAATAACGTGGAAAAAAGTAAATTTTCCAAAAAAATTGTTTTTCGATATAACTGAAAAACTGAATACGATGATTTTAAAATTTTTCGAAGGCCTGGTATGACCCTCTGAATGCCCAACTATTTTTTTTTCATTTAACAAAGCCACAACATTGATTTTAATTATATTATTATTATTTATTTGTTTTTATCTTATTCCTGCATGGTATATCAATGCAATTTAATTATTACCTAATATCTAGCCATCATTCTTCAATCCACCCACACTACACACAGCAGGAAAGTCAACAGATCCGAGTTTAGATGGCTTCTTTTTGGAATTTGGCGGCAGGTATAGAGAATTAAGCGGGGTTCACAACCAAACTTTTTACGTTTTGCTTTTTACGTTTCGTATTCTGATTGGTGAAGCAGAATCTGTAATTAAACGTGAGCAAATGTCATTCACAACAACAAAAAATCGTGACTTTTTATGGCTCAGTTACCTTGCTTTTGTTATTTGTTTTTCATCCTGAAATGAAGTAAATAATCATAACAATAATATTGATCAGATTGATATAGAACTGGCGGTGATGAAAATTGATCCTTATTCAATACTTGAAGAGAAAAATCAATCTTCACAAGAAAATAATGAATTGGAAAGTATATACCTATCTACTATTCTGTGGATTCACGAAAAAATCATGAAAACATCATGATGAAAAGGAATATTCTCAGAAAAATTCTCTATTCTCTATGTGATGAGAATATTTAGTCATTTTCAGTCTCCATTTGGAATTTCTTTCCACGCCGCCTGTATGATGAATTTCAATTTATCATACACCCAAAAGCAAAAACATCATGACTTCCATATTATTACAGAATGTTTCATATTATTCGTCTATTTTTACTATTTTCACAGACGATGGCTCCTTACAACGCAAAAAGCTGAATATTTCCAGCTTTTTGCGTTATTTCAATTACAGATTTCGCTTCACCAATCAGAATACGAAACGTAAAAAACAGAACGTAAAAAGTTTGGTTGTGAACGCCGCTTTATGCAGTGGGACTCTGTAACTTGTGTCGCATAGCGAAAGCATAGCGAAAGCGAAACGAAGCGAAGTATACGACTTCGCTTTCCGGTACTCTATATGTAGTTCGTTATGCTTTCGCTATCGTCATACGATTTCATACGAAATAGAACGAAGTTGATGGAGTTAAATTTGGCAACAGTGTTGCGGATCCCATTTATTCAAAGGAAACATCCCATTGGATCAAAAAAGCGGCATTTACGAATTATTGTATTGTTAATTTTTGGTTTCAATCAGAAATGAAGCACTTGGAGAAGTTTCCGAGAGAAAAGAAATTCAATAAAACATCAAAAACACATATGAAGATGATTTATTTCTATGAATTGGAATGAATGTATGGACTACAAACAGATATTGACATCAATGCCAACAAAAATAGTAATCAGCCAAACAAGAACTTATTCTGCACAGAGCAGCTCATTGGAAAATATGTACCTACTTTGTTCATATGAAAAATTGGTATTTATATTCTCACTAGGTATATCTCAGGTATAGCCTTCTATTTATATGCAACTAGTAAAGGCTTATATTTATAATGGACATATCATTCTATAATCTAACACTCAGTATATTATTATTTACATACTATAATGTATTACCTATCAGAACTTGCTTCTCTATGTTGCAAATTAAACAAAAGATGATAAGCACATATAATTCCTTGAATCACCTTCTGCAAGGCAGCTATATGTTGACAGTGCATTTATACAGATGCACTTTTTCTTACAGTTCACTTTAGAATCTTGGATAGAATTATTAATGTAGTGAAAGTAGAATCCGTTCTTGTTCTTGTTCAACATAGTAAATAATGTTCAGTTAATCCTGTTTCATGGAATTTACTCTTGATTCTCCCTTATTGGTACACATTAATATTACACAGTTCTTCTTGGGTGTCTCCAAGGTTTTTGCTATCCAAATTATTTTCCCTTCCAATGCACTTATTATGCAAATTTTTCAAATTTGAACGTTCCAGGCTTTCTGTTATGTTTCACTGTTGTAGGTATCGGCATATTATATTAGTAGGATTCTTTAATTACCTATTATTGTCTTCTTCAATGGACTCACACCAAAGACATATTTTTCTTAACAAGGATTCAGTGAGACAACATTCAGTAATGGCACATTTCAGTTTTTGGAGAAGCTACTTATATCTGCCTGTTTTGATGTATCAGGAATCTAAAAGAGAAGGATAATTCGAATGAATATGAATATTCCAGACCCTATTGAACAGCACTACGACAGTTTTCAGTTTATTTTTCAACTACCAAATGAGCTGTATGTTTTCATCAATCATCACACTGTCTATCATATTTTTTATCTCACGTCTCACGTTCTTTCATCCCCTACCTTAATCCTACCAAAGGGAACTTCCATCTCTCTGGAATATCTTTAGGATTTTGTTCGTAAAACTGAGGAATCTGTCCCACTGACTGAGTTGTGTTTTTGCTCGCTTCGTTATCCATGTTTGGGTTCATTCCTCATTTATTAATCTATTATTTTTCTCAAATCAACACAAAGTTCGAACTAGGAACAACAACAAAAACCAATACCCATAACCTCGATCGTTGAAAATCGCAGAAAGCGGCAACCAAAATCCTTCGCTTCTGCTTCGCTTACGAACTCACGTTCGGCGTCTCCGACCTCATCCGAATATTGATACAGAGTACCGAAACGGCAAAAGCAGTCGATTACGCATGCTTTCGCTTTCGCTTTGAGTTACAGAGTCCCACTGATGGCGGCAGGTGTCAGGTTGACATAATGACATATCTCTTGACGTTCTCGCATCACAAGTTCACCACAACAAATTAAATCTCGAGTTCTCGACTTTGCAAACTCGAGATCTCGACTTTGTAAAGTCGAGATCTCGAGTTCTCGACTTTGTAAACTCGAGATCTCGAGATCTCGACTTTCACAACTCGAGATCTCGAGATCTCGACTTTCACAACTCGAGAACTCGAGATCTCGACTTTACAAACTCGAGATTTTAAAAAATATATAGAAGTGGCCCTCCCAGAGCTTCGTAGAATGATAGTCAGTTTCATTGGTAATTATTTCCCACGAGCCACGAGATGAAGTTGGCAGCATGAGCCGTAGGCGAATGCTAACAGCATTTTTTATTATTCTTCTGGCTTGCAGTCATCTGATTTTTCCTTTAGTAATGCTCTTAGTCTTGTGTAGTTCGCGAACGAAATAGTTCGAAAGAGCGCTCCCGAGAGCTCTCTACTGTACGAAAGCACCCTGGTGTCACGCACACTTTTCTTTTTTTGAAAACTCATTATAATGACTTTTTTCTCATTATAATGAGTTTTTTCTCATTATATTGACTTTTTTCTCATTATATTGACTTTTTTTTCATTATAATGAGTTTTTTCTCATGAAAATGAGTTTTTTCTCATTATAATGAATTTACTTTCTTTCTTCGGAGTCTTCTCCTGCTTCTGAGACTAACACCAATAGGGTCCAATTCTTTCAATATGATTCTCACACTTCTATTCGTAATTACAAATCCTTGCTGGATGCATTTCAAATGCATCCATCGATAGCCGTGTAACTGTCCGTACTTCTCAACTTGTTCGGCTATAAAATTCAAAACTTCTGGTAAGGGAGTAAAATATTTCTTTCTGTAGAGGCCCATTACCTTCAATATTCGTTTAACTGTTGATAAACTTATACACTGTTTATGATATACCGTCAGGAAAGCCATAATTTCTTCGCAACTAAGACCCAATAAAAAGTAGTATGCAATATAATTGGCCACCACATCCATTTTGATATAAATCATAAGAAATCTAATTAATAATGATAATCTAAACCAAAGAAATCATGTTTACACAGAAAATATAAAGGCGAATAATAATAAAGTCATTATACCTATATAATGAGAAAAACGTCATTATAATGAGAAAAAAGTCAATATAATGAGAAAAAAGTTATTATAATGAGAAAAAAACTCATTATAATGAGAAAAAAAGTCATTATAATGAGAAAAAATTCATTATAATGAGAAAAAATTCATTATAATGAGAAAAAACTCATTATAATGAGAAAAAAGTCATTATAATGAGTTTCCAAAAAAAGAAGTGTGCGTGACACCAGGGTGCTTTCGTACTACTGTGCCGAGATGAACCACGCGAACGTTGCGTTGCGAGTTGCGTCTGCGGAGTATGCGTCATAAAATGGAATAGTGGTGGGGAGTCAGTCAACATCAATGTTGCCAGATTGTATTCATTTTCGATAAGTTGATGAAGAAAGCAATGATGAATAATCTCCTTCCACTATGAGTTCATTGGAAGAAAGTACACAATGATCTTGAACTGATTGGATAACCCAAATGAAAGAAAATATCATTTTCATGAATTCACATGGAACATGGAAGTGAAAAGAGACAATTCTTTGAAACAACATAATAATAATCTAACTCGCCCACAAGAAACCTTTACTCTAGAAAATAATTTTATCAAAACTTTGTCTCAACTGTAAATGCCTGAACTCAGCCTGAACCGTACTCTTTTCAGGGAGAAAACGAAATACCCCTCCTGCATGAAAAAGGACACTACTTCTTTTCAACCATCTAACGACCTTACTCGGCTTAAATGAACCTTCTGCCTAAAAATACAGTATTTTTTCAGGGAGGAAGGAAAATATCCCTCCTGCATCAAAAAGGACAGTACTTTTTCTAAACCATCTAACCTCAATCGGCCTACATGAACCGTCTTTCTAAAAATTATATTTTTTGGAAAATCACTTGAGAAAACAGAATTTAAGTCGATCGTTGCAGGCATTGAACCCGAGTCCCCGAAATGAGATTCAAACGCACAGTCAACTACACCACGAGTCGTAGTTACTGTGGTAAAAGACTGGGGCTGCTGTGGTAGTATTGAGATGGTAGTACGAAGATAGAATTTATAGTCCCTGCATGTAACCGCACTTGCTGTTGCCGCGCTGATTATATTTGTTACTTCCCGTCTCTAGACGCTAGTATTCGGAATTTCGGATTCTAACAAAGAAACGATAACCCATCGATAACCAGAGCAACGCTGCACTCCCCCAACTCTGTGGATGATTGTTTTGTTATTTGGTATCATTTAATCAATGTTTGCCTTGTATGATATTGAAATATCTTATCATTTCAAAGGAAATAGGTACTCTTATGTAATACATGGGTGTTCAAAGGTGTTTCCTTGTCCTATAAATCATATACTTTGATCTTTCTTTGATGGTGTAGTGATATTCTCTATTCTCCATTGAATATGTCTACAAATGAAAGAACTAATATATCTGTAAGAAAAGCAAGAAGGGAAGATATGAAAGAAGTTTATGCACTACTGAAGGTAGGTTGGTACAAAACAAAGGATTCTTTGGAAATTGATGACATTTTTCGAAACTTTGTACAAGGATGTTTTATAGGGGCTAGCAGAATTTGAAAATCTACTGGATCAAGTGAAAATCGACGAACATACCTTGGAAAGAGATGGGTTTGACACTGATAATCCACTTTTTGGGTGTTTTGTAGCAGAAATGTCTGATGGTCCCTTAGTTGGTTATGCCCTCTATTTCCATTCTTACTCAACTTGGGAAGGAGCATCCATATTACTGGAAGATATTTATGTTCATCCAGATTACAGGTAGATTTCAAATGACTATTGAGACATCTGGTATGCTTGTTCACTAAATATGATAAACTCACCATAAAAATCAATTACCTGTTGAATTTTCTATATAAAAATGTGCTATTGAAGTACATCATGAGTATATAAAGTGTCCAATGACAAAATAAAAAGAGCAAGTGCCTGTAAATGCATCCAACACAAAGGGAAAAAGAAGGCAACATTTCGATCTTTGTCTTGAAATATCTTGATAAATAGTGATTTGTTCACATTTTCATTATCAGATTCATGTTTTTCAGACAAAAATACACAAGTACCAAAAAAAATTTTTGAAAAAAAAACCCATGGCATGATAAATGCACTTTTACCAAAATTGAGTATATTTTTAAAGGCACAGGACATGTGTATATTGATTTTGCCCTTTCTGAAAAACATGAATTCGGTAATGAAAATGTGAACAAAACATTATTTATCATATTTCAAGGAAAGATTCGAAATTTTGCCTTCTTTTTTCCCCTATCTTGGATGCAGAAGGCAGAAGCTTTTGCTGACTCCTTCGAGCGGCAGTGTACAGAAAACAATGTTCCAGACACAGACGAAGTCAGGGAAACAGAACGACACACAAACAGAACAAAAAGACAAATCAGACTCACAGACGACACGAACCTCATCATAGACCCCAGCTCACCGGAAGAGCTTAGATTAATAATAAAAAACCTAAAGACGCGTAAAGCCCCAGGCATGGACAACATACCAAACAGGGCCCTTAAGGCCCTGCCGAGACGCGGAATAGCCGCTCTGACAAACATTATCAACGCTATACTGAGACTACGTTACTTTCCAAATGATTGGAAGATTGCTACAGTAATAATGATCCCAAAACCAAACAAAAACCACACGTTTCCACAAAACCACCGTCCTATCAGTTTGCTCCCATCCATGAGCAAAGTGGCAGAACGAGTCATCCAAAGACGACTAACAACAATGTCTGAGGAATTAAACGTGATCCCAAACGAACAATTCGGCTTCAGGAGAAACCATTGCACAGAACTCCAAGTTCTCAGAATAGTAGATTACGCGATTACAGGATTCAATCTCGGAAAAGGACATTATACTGGAGCAATCTTCCTTGACGTTTCGAAAGCATTTGACAGGGTCTGGCACGACGGACTACTGACCAAAATGACAGACTACGGGTACCCGATATCTATGGTAAAGCTAATAGCCTCCTTTCTGCGGGGAAGGCGATGCCAATGTAAAGTTGGCAACGAAATCTCTGCAGAGAGGGAGCTAGAAGCAGGAGTACCGCAAGGCGCGGTCCTTTCACCACTACTTTTCTCCATTTTTACCGCAGATATCCCTAAACCCGCGAACAACTTCAACAAACTCGCACTATACGCCGACGACACAGCCATAATTGCCAGATCCAGTAACGCAAACATGACAGTACGATACCTACAAGAACAAATCGACACACTAGAAACCTGGTTCAACAACTGGAAGATAGAAATCAACGCAGAGAAAAGCCAAGCTGTTCTCTTCACTAGACGACGCACAAAACCTACAGGACACGTAATACTAAACGACATACAGATACCATGGGCAGACGAGGCTAAATATCTAGGGGTAACCCTAGATAACAAACTCACATTCAGACAACACATCACAACACGACTAAACTTGGGTAAAGCCGCAAGGCAAAACCTACAGCCTCTAATAGGTCGCAGAAGCAACATGGCCCTAGAGTTGAAGCTGCGCCTAATAAGAACCATTCTACTTCCAATAATTTTGTATGCATCAAGTGCATGGGGCCAATGCGCAGAAACATACAAAAAGCGAATACAGGCATTTCTAAATGTCTCAATAAGAATGGCAGTAAATGCCCCATGGTATATCCCAAATAGATTTATCTATAGGGACCTGAACATAAACCCAGACTACATAGACAACTACATAAGACAACACGCGGAGACTACATTCGGAAGAACGGAAACCCACGAGAACCCGCTACTGCACGACCTGACCAACAGACAATTAAATCAAGACCCGCGCTTCGGAAGAATAAAGTACAAACGCCCAATTCACCAAATATAAGATAAAAGAACGGAAATAAATCAATATCAATAAAAGTTGCATAATAATCATCAGATAAATAAACAATAGAGTCTCTCCTTTGATACCCTATAAAAAGTTAACCAATAATAATAAGACATAAACACAATTTTTGCTTCCCATTAGGGTAGGGAACCACCACGCAAAGTCAGGCTAGGAAACACATATTAGACAAAAAGGTTTAAAAGTCGGAAGACTGAAACCAAGTAAGGGGTTATATAAAACATATGCAGATTGCCAAATGCATAAGGTTGAAGTCCACTCGTTAGTGAGTGGGGGTGGATGGACATGGGGATGAGGAGCTATCATATAACGTAAGCTAGTTATATGGCGGCACTTGATCCTGGGCATTCAACCTTTCGGGGGGCGTGGTGTGTGTGGATGCTACGAAGGCGCTGAAGGGCCACCTATACTTTTTTTTTTCGAATCCCGACTTTAAAGTCGGACCCCCGACTTTAAAGTCGGGGGTCCGAGATTAAAGTCGGGGGTCCGACTTTAAAGTCGGGGGTCCGAGATTAAAGTCGGGGGTCCGAGATTAAAGTCGGGGGTCCGAGATTAAAGTCGGGGGTCCGAGATTAAAGTCGGGGGTCCGAGATTAAAGTCGGGGGTCCGAGATTAAAGTCGGGGGTCCGAGATTAAAGTCGGGGGTCCGACTTTAAAGTCGGGGGTCCGAGATTAAAGTCGGGGGTCCGACTTTAAAGTCGGGGGTCCGAGATTAAAGTCGGGGGTCCGAGATTAAAGTCGGGGGTCCGACTTTAAAGTCGGGGGTCCGAGATTAAAGTCGGGGGTCCGACTTTAAAGTCGGGGGTTCGAGATTGAAGTCGGGGGTCCGAGATTAAAGTCGGGGGTCCGACTTTAAAGTCGGGGGTCCGAGATTAAAGTCGGGGGTCCGACTTTAATCTCGAAAATTCCGAGAAAATGATCGAATGAGCAAAATACGTCATCACTTTTGTTTAATTCGAATATCTTTAATATCGACAAAATATCAATATAACATATACAGGGTGATCCACGGTGGATGGCCTATTAGAAGTATCTGGAGAACGAAAAGACAAAACATTCTGAAAATTGGGATCCTTTGATAATTGAACATTCTCTATCCGTTTAAAATATGTTCATCGATACAGTGTTGCCACTTCTATTAGAAACAACCAGCAACTTTGTTATTTCTAAATTGATACCCTGTATTTTATTGCATTTTCAGATTCTTCCTGAAGAGCTGATTTCATCAATGTCAAAAATACAGGGTGCTTCAAGATTCAGAATTCTGATCACCCTGTATCTGTTCCAATTAAATGTCAGTAGACAGTGAATCGAAAGTTAAGATAGGGACATGTGAACCGTTTTGATCGATAATGAATAGTTTCGACACAAAAAAATCTTAACATTGAAAAATCCTGATTTTGAACACCCTATATCTCTGTAATCATTCCTGCTAGAACCCAAGTGTGATGCATTGATGAAATCAGCTGTTCAGGAAGAATCTGAAAATGTAATAAAATACAGGGTGTTCCATTTGAAATAACAAAGTTGCTAACTGTTTCTGATAGAAGTAGCAACACTGTCTCGATGAAAGTATTTTAGACGAATAGAGAATGTTCATTTATCGGAGCATCCTAATTCTCAGAATGTTCTGTCTTTTAGTTCTCCAGATACTTCTAATATGCCATCCACCGTGAATCACCCTGTATAATTAGTTAATTCATAATGAAAACTGCGCATCGAAAACTTGATTCTCAACGTTTTCATAAGGCTTTGAAATTTGGCTATTTATTGAAGAAGATTATAAAAATAGTCCGGAAGGGTTAACTCATACCTACAAATGTAATCATATATCATTGAACTCATCTTTCTGAGCTCTACCCAAGGACGGAATGACATTCAGGGTAGTTCATTTGTGAAAATATATGTTTTGTATTGTAATCTTTTTGCACCCTTTGAACAAACAAATGAGATTCTCAGGTATTAAGTGGAATATAAACAATCACCCTATACGTACGATAATGATCGTACAGGTGTGATCCATTATTTGACATTCAGTGTACATCCAAAAAGGAGGATTTTGACTGATCCTTATGTGATGATTATCCAATGGATGTAAAATTATTGTTTGTACATAAATGTACAGGGTGTTTCTCGAGTACATGTAGAAAATTCAGGAGCATGTTGCTGACGTCAAACTGATGAGTAACAATGGAAATTATTTATTTCTGTCCATATATTTAACGAATATAATCTAGCTCCTAACTTCAGTTCCGAACTCCCGACTTTAATCTCGGACCCCCGACTTTAAAGTCGGACCCCCGACTTTAATCTCGGACCCCCGACTTTAAAGTCGGACCCCCGACTTTAATCTCGGACCCCCGACTTTAAAGTCGGACCCCCGACTTTAAAGTCGGACCCCCGACTTTAATCTCGGACCCCCGACTTTAAAGTCGGACCCCCGACTTTAATCTCGGACCCCCGACTTTAAAGTCAGACCCCCGACTTTGAAGTCGGACCCCCGACTTTAATCTCGGACCCCCGACTTTAAAGTCGGACCCCCGACTTTAATCTCGGACCCCCGACTTTAATCTCGGACCCCCGACTTTAAAGTCGGACCCCCGACTTTAAAGTCGGACCCCCGACTTTAATCTCGGACCCCCGACTTTAAAGTCGGACCCCCGACTTTAATCTCGGACCCCCGACTTTAATGTCGGGATTCAAAAAAAAAAAGTATAGGTGGCCCTTCAGCGCCTTCGTAGGATGCATTTACAGCTACTTGCTCTTATTTTGTCATTGGACACTTTATATACTTATGATGTAACTTCAATGACACATTTTTGAATAGGAAATTCAACAGGAATATGGTTTTTATGGTGAGTTTTTCATATTCAGTGAACAATCCTACCAGGCCATTAATCAATAAATAATCAATAATCCAAATACCAGGGATGTCAAATGTCAACAGCTGACCCAGACAATTAAACTTTTCCATTGAAACAAAGGTGGTTGATTGAAACTGTCCCATCAATGGGTATATCCAGGGCCTACTCTTAGAGTAGGCCCTGGTAGGTATATCTCAGTGAGAATGGTTCTGGAGTGTGGACAAAGCTTGGTCCAAATGATTCAGGAAATAAAGTGAATAATGATAGCTTTCTATTTATATTCTAGGAAAAACGGAGTCGGCAAACAACTGTTTCTGGCTGTTGCTAGAGCAGCAAAAGATATGGATATGAAGAGAATTGATTTTCATGTACTGTCTTGGAACCCTGCTGTGGATTTTTATAAAAAAATGGGAGCAGTTAATCTAACACAAAAAGAAGACTGGAATTTATTCAGATTAGACCATGAAAGTATAAATGCATTATTTCCATGATATGTTGTTAATTTCATTTATTATTTTTGTATATGGGTAATGCAAAAATAAAGGCCACCTTATATTTTATAAAGTTCCACTAAACATTGTTTCTGCTAATGTTACTGTGTTATTCTCGAATTAAATTTGTTTTCCTTATCTTTGGTTAATTTTTTCACCATTATCATCAACTATAATGTAGTAATACTGAATTTTCTAGAGATCGTTTTTTTATTTGGTGAGTGTATATTTATAAACCTCTCGTTTTTTTGGCTGAAGAAGTTAAAGTATCAGTAAATCTTGAAAGTCCTGACCCTGTCTTCATTAGGAGTCTGGAAATAGTAATTTTTCCATGCCTGTCAGGTCATGATGCAAGTATGGAAAAATCTTTGTGGACATGTAATCAAGATATTTTTATTACACTTCCTTGAAAATGAAAATATAAATACAACAGAAACTTGGAACATGTTTATCTTCACAGTTGTAGGTAATATGGCTTGCCATTGTAGCCATCTTGGTTGTAGGAATGAAATAAGTTGGTACTATATACCTGGATTTTACTTGTAATGAATTCATGGCTTGTGCTGCTTGCTCTAGGATATTATGCGGAATTTCGGGATTGAATGAGAAACATTATTCTGATCATACAGTAGGGGAAATAAGGTGATTTCAAAGAAGTATAATAAAAACATAAATTCTTTCAGTAAATAAAACTTGATGTTTTTTACATGCTTGTGTGGTGTCAATCATTTGTAATCAATTTCAATAATGTATTTTTTTTTTCAATATTTGAGGTGATAACTTTTAATGATTTATTTTTGGGGAAATGTTCAATAAGAAAAGTCACTTTTTCAAGTGATTTTCTATCACCTCTCTGAATGAATGTACAGAAAACTCTGGACCACCCTGTATATGTCTACAAAAATCATCAATATTAGATGAGAGTTCTAGATGAAAATAAAAACAAAATTAGTTGATTCTCAAAAAAGTTTGGGTTTCATTCAAGGTTCCAGTTCTGGAAAGTGTAGCATAATCGAAATGGTTCCATTCATTCATTATGAATTCATTGCTCAATCAACATAATGATGGAAATTCAAGTAGCCTTCAGATGACCAATAGTGTGCTCTTCAAACTCATGGATACTATCAAAACTTTTCTCACAAACATAACACCTAAAAATGATTTATGGTTTCATTACAAGAAATGAAAAAAATAATGTAAATTTTCTTTTTCAAACCTTAATAACTGTTTATTTTTCTTCATAGATGCAAGGATTTTCTCTTTCACTTTGTCTTGCCTCTTTAAACTTTTTTCAGGAGAATGGGCTTTCATGTGTCTCTTCAAATGGGTTGTAGTTCTGAATCCTTTGCTACACAAAGGACATTTGTGAGGTCTTGCTCCAGAGTGACACATTTTGTGAAAATTATATGAAGAGTGATGCACAAATTGTTTGTTACATATTTGACACTGGAATGGTTTTTCAGCTGAAAAATGGTCAGATTTAGGAGACATAAATCATACAGAACTGATGATGGATTCATGCAGATAGTAGGGTGAATATTTAATTAAATTATATCCATTGCATCAAATATTCCTCAGCTGATGAGTAGGAGCAGTGAGACTAGTGAGAGTTGATTTCTGGTTGAGTCAACAGAGAGGTTTATGCAACCTGCCCCAAGTTGAATTGACAATTGACCATTCTGAAATACAATTGACGCTTTCTAAAATTGAATTGACTATTCTGAATTACAATTAATGCTTTCTGAAATATTATTATACAATTGACGCTTTCTGAAAAACAACTGGAGACTCGGGAGAGTAATAATCAGTACCTACCAGTGTGCATGATTAAGTGCCTAGCCAATGAATTTCTCTGGGTGAATGATTTTGAACAAAAATAACACTTATATGGATAACTATTACTTTCATGTTTAACTAAGTGACTATCCATATCTCTTTTCAATTTATAGGACCGTCCACATATTTCACATAAGAATCGTTTTGTAACATTTGTTTGGATTTCCAATATTTCCATCTTGCATCTGTAATGTTCATTTAATATGTTCTTTTATGTGATAACCGATAGCCTGCTGCACATGGCCTGCACTGAGGCCGGAGGCCTGCACCATGAGCACCACAGAATACGTTGAGTATTCTGTATTCTGTTGATTCTGTACGTGTACCTGTACCTGCACTCTGCAGCCTGCCAGCAGTGCCAGCCCCGTGCAGACAGCTCAAGAAGTCCCGACCCGAGTCCCGAACCAATCCCGAACACTCTCCTCTCACCGTCCAGTCAATGTCAAGTGTTGTTTCGGGGTCTAATTTTTTCGTACCAGATGTCCTTGGAAAAAGGTGATTTGATTCGTCTGAGGTGATTTGAATCAACAGGATGGGAAAAGTCTAATATTTGACATTCTAAATGTCATTCTCGTCAAACTCTATCGCACGGATTAGACATTTTTGACAGGAATGAGTTGAGAGTTGAGTCACCACAGAACTTATAACGGCGGCCCGGTGGTCGAGAGCGCGAAAGCGCTGAGTTTGTATGGGGACTCCCACCGAGGCATGGGTTCGAATCCCAGTTATGCCATGGATGTTTGTAAATGTATGCTTTCCTAACCCCGCACAAGTTTCGACTTATGGGGCGTTGGATCCAGTGCTGGGTCCAACGAGGAAATGCAATTGACAAAAAATAAAAACAAATAAAATAATTGAACGTATGAATGTATGTTTACACTCTGGAACATAGCCTTTTTTCAGAGCAAAACCTAATTTTCTCATTGATCGAAAGTGCGCGAAGCACACACACCCATAAGCTAGAATTGTACCGATAGGTCGTGAACGGATGTTTGGGCAAAACGAATTAGTGCATTTTTTTTGCATTTCTAACCTAACTTTAGATAATTTAACTTTCTACTAGAGTACTAGTAGTTGAACATCTCAAGTTGAACAATCTTTTAAAAACAAAACCATGGAGCCGCTCCAGTAAGTTTTATCTCTGTGTGGTGGGTTTCTTGGAATTTGAATCAGCATTAATTTGTCAAAGAGCCCGGCACCTATTTGTTTTTCATAGTGAATATTTTATCTCTAAAATTGATTATATATAATCGATGAAACGTGTTGAACTTTGTGACCTTATTATCTCAGACAGGTCCCCTGTGAAGTTTAAACATTCCTCATTTGCAGATGTACGGTCTGCCCCAAAAGAATGAAGAAATTAGTTATTCGTTAAATCAAGAATCAAGCTTATTGTACCAATGAAAATATCATTTTGGATTGTTATGAATAAATGAATACACAACCCCAATTATCAAAACATTAGATCTAGCAAGAGATGTTTTTATCTAGAAGGATTATTTCTTCACCAAGTTCAATGAATGAAATTATTAAAACAATTGTGTCAACCAGTTTGAGGTAAATTGATGATCTGAATGAAGCTTTATTCTACTAAAAAATGTTCACAATTGCAGCAGCATCATAATACTCATTTTTCCCAGTAAATCTAACAGATAAGTGAATGTCTTTGAAGTCTACTGAGCCAAAAGAGTAATTTTTGTATTTTTGAAGAATTCCAGTAGCATCAAAAGTCTGCTTCTCTTCTGTACCTTGAAAACTTGTATTCATTAGTGTTACATGTAATTTAACTTTCTCATACTGCTTCTTGGCCAAACCTGATTTATAGTAGTACTCAGAGATTTTATCTGCTATCACTTGGAGTTTATCATGTTGTTCTGCTTCCTCTATAAGAACATTTCCATATAGTACTTGGACACTAGATGGATCATCATTCATTATTTCTATGCCCTTCAAATGTATCCTATGAGCTGTTCCCTTCTGGAACAAGTTGGCAATTACTTCTTCATAACAACTAGTTAGCACTTGTTTAGCAGCTTTTAATTCTTCTTCATCAACTAATATGAGTGTACAAATAGTTAAATGAAGTTTTTCTGGGTTTTGGAATAATGATCTTGTTACCCCTGTAGGTGGATCACTTAGGATGTCATCTTGAAATTCTTTCAGTTTATGTTTGATGCCATCAGATACAATGGGTATTGAAATGAAATGGGTTATTGGTAATTTTTCCTTTCTCTGCATAACTATCATTGATATTTGTGTACGAGCTGATGCAACTTTTCGCTCTGTATCCCCTGTTATCTTCACAACTCCTTTTTCATTGGCTTTTGGTACTTTGATCAAAGTATTTGTTGCTCTTTGCAAGCCATGCAGCTTGGATCCCTTTGCTCCTATGATGTGAGAGATCAAACTGGATGGAACATAAAATGAGCTCATGAATTTCCCTGATTTCGTCAGAACTATGTCATAATTATCTTCTATTTCACCACAATCCAACAAGCCTCCTTCATTATCATCATATGGTTTGAGATAAGTTTGTTTTTGTATTGCATCATCTTTGGTTACAACTGATGACATCCAGTAGATGTTTTGGTCAAAACAGATCTGCTTTGTTGTTGTTTGTATAGCCCCCTTTTCTTTGAAGAAATCTGGGACTTCTTTGCATCCTGTTCCTGGGGACATAACTAAGGCAAACTATGAAGCTGTAAGGAAAGAAATAGGCATTTATTAGGTGATTTGTTATTATTTCATATGATGGATTATACAGGGTGTTCAGTTCACCGAGGTATATCTGGAAGGGGGTGGTAGTTAATGTGATATTGAACATATTTAACCATATATATTATACAGTGTTACACTTTTCGGGAATTCATAACTTATAAATTTCAAGTTGGATATGTTAACAAAAACCGTTTATTAAATTTAGATCCCATTATGTTTTCAATATTGATGAAATGCGTATTCAACTATTTTAGAAAGGAAGATACAATCAGATAAAATGTTTTACAACAAGATATCTCGAAATTCGTAACATGGTCAAATATGTTTGAAATGTTTTCTTACCTATCACACCCTTTCAGATATACGTCGGTGAACTAAACAACCTGTATAGTCTGTCTTTGTAGAATAGTTCTGACAAATCATCGGAGATCGGCATCTTCTCAGGATGAAAAGTTTCCATGAACAGGGGACATTTAGAAATAGAGCATTATTGTCGAAAATAAAAGGAGGAAAGAGTGTATTTACCTTCAACTACCAGAGATTTGCCTAGCTGAAATTCGAAATATTGTGGTGAATCACGAAACACCTTTTCAATAAAAAAATATTAACATTACTATTTTCAAATATGACTCCCTTTGTAACTCATAGATAAAACGATGTTCTACTCGACTCCGGCCTGTATGATTTTAGAAAAAGTCGTTTCCAATTCAATTTTTGCATCAATTGTAATTCAGAATACTTAAATTGTCATTCAGATTAGTCAAGAGAATTGTAGATTCAACATGAGGGCTCAACCATATTGGTGATTTACATGGAAAGATGGCAGGTGTGACGTGGTGTGAACCACTATTGAGACTGGATCACCCTGATAATCTCCACATCTCACAGAATCTAATTCAAAATAGTTATTTATGTACCAAGGACGGAACACTGTATTATAGTTGAGTCTACAAATTGATAGCCGAGGCTAGCAATCAAGCGAGACAATAGACAGTTTTTCGCCAAGGTGAATATTACATTTTTTCGTCGACCTCAAACACTTATATTCACATCACGGTCCTTTTCACACGTGAAATCTATCGGATTTCGTGAACGATTAATTTGACTACAGCAAATGACAGTTGTTGTCAACTCACTCTCCGCGCGGACCAGGCTTGTCAGTTCGATTTTTATTCCATCAGTAAATACCTTGTCAAAAATTCTGTAGATTTCAATAGATTTGTTTAGATCTATTTTATGCTATACGAATTCCAAGAAAGGATAATGAATTAAAAGAAAAGTAACCTATTGTCAACAAAATAGGAACAAACAAAACAAACATTCTGATACAAAAATAATCATATTCCTAATTTTCAATTCGAAAATACTCACAAATATCACAAAATACAGTTACATAGGTACTTATAAGATTCGAGTATATTGAAAACAGCAACGAATAATGAAAATTGACAACAAAAATACAAAATGAATAGAACAATTGATCGTTAGAAACAAACTGTTATAACAGAGAAATATAAAAAATGTAATTTGATCTGAGTCAGATAAAGTATTGTCCTTTTTTTTATTTATACATATCATAAGTATCTATATGTGTATTTGATAAACTGAAAATTGATAATAATATAGTTAATTGTAATAATGAATGAGTGTCAAATTATTTGTCAGTAAAAAAATCAGGTTATCTACCGAAAATTCAGTAGAACTGGCACTGCGGACGAAAAGTATTTGCCTTCGGAAATAGTCGGTTGTTTGTTCTCGGAAATTAGAACGTAAAATGTGATTTTTTGTTGAAGTCGACAAAAAAAATGTTTTCAAAAGCAATCAAAATAATTGCTATCTAATTGATAAAATATAAGTGAAGTAACCACCATTGCCTCGGTAAGACAAACGTCAATCAAGAGCTGATTTTTAAACAAAAATAAACGACTTTTGAGTCGGTTGAAGAAATTACCTATACCTATTTGCAGTAACTGCTTTCAAAAACTGCATAATATGATATTAGCAATTTTCTTCAATTTTGATTCCGCCACGGATTAACAATCCCAATCAATATGATCTCATAATTGTATTGTAAAAAAATGACATATATTAGCGAGAATTTCAGAAACTTATACTTACATTTACGAATTCATACGTCATAACTCTATTTATGTTATTATCGAATTATATCTCATAACGTTCAGTATTGTACACTTTTGGAATGTCGAAAATTTGGCTCCTATGATATCGTTTTTTTTTCTATTATCTTATAATTTAAATAGACGTACAAATGAAATTATCTATTGAATAATTTGATGATAAGTTAGTATTACTCACATTCCTTTTTTAAGTAAATATTTTCAATGTTTCGAGGGATCATAACAAAAAGATGTGCAATATCAATTCAAATGACGATCACTGATCCTTATTTCATAACTTGATGCATATCTAGTTGGCAACAAACATGTTGAAACTCTTTTGGTATAAATTTGGGCCTTGTATTTGGATTATTCAGTATCTTAGCATATTTACTAAAATCATTCAGTTGCCTTCATTGATATTTTGAGTATTGGGTAGTTGACATGCGTTTCAGGTAATTATATTTAACAAAATCAAGAAGCAAATTATTTTCTATTTTTATATTCGTTTCAAAATCGGCAGAATGAGAATGAGTTTCTTATATTTTCCAGAGCAAATCCCAAAATTATAGATGGGAAAAAAATCGCAGAGGAAATTCATAAAGAATTAAGAATAGAGATAGACGAATGGGTAAGCCAAGGAAATCGGCGGCCATGTCTGACAGCTATTTTGGTGGGGGAAAACGCAGCTAGCGAAAAATATGTCAACAATAAAATGGTTGCTGCCAAAAAAATTGGTGAGTGATTTTAATTCTTAAAATTGGTAAAGCCTCAGCTCATATTCTCAGGTCTATCTATGCATATGAATGGCTTGAAAATTAAGAAATTCATTTTTCTTTCATCCATGTGCAATTTTCATGAGGCTTCCAGAATGAAAAGATCCTTTGGGATCTCAGGATTAACCCCAATATTTTTATAAAATCTTAATGGTAGCATCAGAAGTATGAAAAAATGCAGAATCACATAAAACAAATAACGTTTCAATTCTATGTAGAATACAAAAATGAAAAACTAAAAATTTGAAAAAATCATCATTGGACATGAAACATGAAATTAGAAACAGAAAAAGTGACAAAAAATGTATTAAAAGAGGTGCAATTAAAATAATTTAATAAAATATCTGCTTGGCAAAAATGAGTATGCCCTTAGAAATACAGTTGTGTAAAGAACAAAAGGTATAAAGCAATGTTATCATTTAAAAAAATTTAAATTTACGGGGTCCCGATTTTTTGATCCCAGGTTTTTCAGGGTAATAATCCGGGAAAATCTTTCGGGATCCCGCATTGGAAACCCTATTTGGGAGCACCAAGGAAATTTTGCATAATGTGTTGAAATGCTACTTTTTTTACGAAATCTTATTTAGATGACACACCACCATATATCTGTATTTGTCAATATATACGATTTGTTGATAGTTGTAGAAAAAAAAGATATTGGGAATATAGAGTAGTATTATTATTCTTATTACTTATCGTTAGTTTTATAATGGCCGCTGAATAGTCAACTTTGGTCTAATAAATAATGTTATTTGGATATTAAAAATATTTCACAAACCATAAGGTTTTCACATAATTCTTATAAACACGTGTTAACAGCATCTTGGCGAAAATTGGTAAAATAAATCAACCTGTATTAAGGGTATTAACTAGAATAACTAGATATACATATATCCAGGTTAACTAACATGCTTAATTTCGGAAAGTTCTTTCAAGATATATTGAAATTCCGAACTTATCAAAAGAAATAGGCGAATCTACTTGGGGATTACGTTTTTCCACAGTTTTGATGATTAATAATCGAACTTTGGAGCATCATGAATAAGTTATACACCTACTTGATGAACGTCATCAATTTCAACATATAAATTCTTCTGTGCACGACCGGCTGTAAAGTAGCACTTTACCGCCTGGTTTTGCGGGCGTAAAGTGACACTTTACTGCCCGCGGACTACTTCATCGCCTGGCGTAGGATAGTGATATTCTTGCATTCTGAACTAACTGACACATATCACTTGAACTAAACTGCATCAGTTGACATGCATTGTACCTAATCACCGTCATTTGAGAGAACGCATATTAACTGATTCAGTTCAGTTCTAGTGAAATATTTCAGTTAGTTCAGATTGAAAGAATTTGACTGATATAGCTGTGATGGTTCATTATCTATTATCACAGATCTCTTGATATTTCTATCAAAATGAGTAAAAATTATCTGTGTTGACTTTAATTGACAGCAAATATAATCCTTTACACTTATTTCAGAAATTTTACTGAGTTACCATGGTAACGTTGATTTCGTCAATGATATTCACAAGGAAAAATCAAATATTGCGGTCGTGCATAAAATGTTGTATGTATTTCGGGCATACCTTACTTTTATGGACCCAGGCTTGTTGATAGCCCTCGCTAACGCTCGGGTTCTTAGTTACTTACACGATACGGTCCATAAAAGCCAATTTCACTTGATACATGAATAACTATTTTTTGAGTCACAATTTCATTATATAACTTTCCAACTTTCAATTTTCTAATGGAACACCCTATTACTATGTTTTTAATTTTGCATAAATTTCTGAATATAATAAATAGTCTCAATTTGTTCACTGAATAAGAAATACTTGTTCGCATACCTCCTTATGTGAAAGCTCAGATTGCAGCTAATATAATAAACATGAAGTGAATAATCGCCGATATTCAGGGACTGAAGTGTCGCTGTGGGATTAGGAACTTCAGTCAAGTTCATACTGGGTGACACTGACTCATGGTATATCCCCCATTTCTCTTTTGGTTTTCTAGCTATGTTCCTGAAATTTGGAACGTCGAATATGCTCACTAGACGGCACTTTTTCACACTTGAGAATTTTTTTCATCTTCCGAATATATAGAAAAAAAAAACAGAAATATAGGTAGAAAAACAAAGGAGAAAAGGGGGGTATATCATGAGTCACCCGGTATACTATTTTATGCAGTTTATGAGTGGAAAAGCTCAAATAGAATAATAAAAGGGTGCACCTAATTCTCGTACTCATAGTAGTACTTTAGTTGCTGGGAGATTAAATGGTAATGTCTGAATCCTTTTAGGCATAACTAGCAATACCCTCAAACTTCCTGTCACACTCTCAGAAGAGGAACTATTGAGCAAAATAAATGAACTGAACGAAGACCCATCTGTCGACGGAATTCTCGTTCAGATGCCCGTTCCTGGTCACATTTCGGAAAGGAATGTGTGCAATGCTGTGAATCCCAGAAAAGACGTGGACGGGTTCCACAGTACGAATATGGGAAAATTAGCTGTAAATCTTAACACATTCGTACCCTGCACTGCTTTAGGGGTAGTTGAACTCATCAAGAGGTAATTTACTAATATCATACAGTCTCTACTTCAGACATCTGGATAAATTGAATAATACATGAATGTGGCACATTTGATTCACAACACATTATTTCAGATCTAACATAAGGACATTTGGCAAAAACATAGTTGTGTGTGGACGTTCAAAAAATGTAGGACTACCAATAGCTTTACTTCTTCATTCTGATGTTAATAATGAGTGCTCTGGTTATGAGGCTACTGTCACTATTTGTCACAGACACACCCCTCCAGAGGAATTGGAATTTTTCACAAAGAGGGCTGATATAATAGTCAGTGCTACAGGTTAGTTGAAATTGTTATTGGAAGTGATAAGTGATTTAGTTATTGTTCCTCAACACACTATTGAAATCAATATCCCAATGATAAAAATTTTAATTCAGGGATTTACTATTGATCATTCTAGAACACGTGATTTTGACATGGTTTCTTAAGGGGCACACAAACTATCTGTTAGGTTACCTTTGATGAGCATTGCTCTGGCCGTCCCTGCCACATCCACAATATAATAATTTCACCAAACAAAATTATGAAATTCTTTCTGGTTCCATCTCGGATTCCAAGGAAAACGATCCTACTAATTCTGGTTTTATATGACAAATCGTGACAAGATACAATGTTTGCCCCTCAGCAACCTTTCAAATGACGTAATTCTGGAATGATTAATATTTAACCCAAATGAAGAAACACTGGAAGTTTGTGAACTCAGTTTTTTTTGTAGGAGTTGTCCACCTTATTAAACCAGATATGGTCAAGCCTGGAGCATGTATAATTGATGTGGGAATCACAAGAACAACAACAGAAGACGGCAAATCTAAAATTGTTGGTGACGTTGATTTTGAAGGTAGAAAACTCTTATTTTTGAGTTTCACAGTAAAATGAGATTGTACATGTTTTGATTCTTAATTCACCATCTTATTTTGCCACTTTGAGATTAAAATTGGCTACTTTGAATTAGTCAGTAACTCAGTAATAGCCCAATCAAAACTGTCAATTTTTACCAGATAATCAAACTATCAATCCTCAATGATAACTTCATTAATCATCTTGAACTATTTCTAGGCTTTCAACTTGTTTCATTCATTTGAAGTTCAAAATGTCTGTTTTATTTTTATATTTATAATATGCATTCTTCCAATGTATTTTTATGTTCCTTGAACTAAGTTTTGATGGGCCTTCTAGTTTGTCCCACATATGTTTAGCTGTTATCGGTCCGATTTGATTTAAAAATTTATTGAAACATTTGTTACAGGTTGTTTTGAAGTTGCTGGTCATATCACACCTGTTCCTGGTGGTGTGGGACCAATGACAGTAGCCATGTTGATGTCAAATACCTTTAAGGCTGCAAAAGAATTGGCACTAAAGATTTGAATTGGATGCCATTTTTAATGGGATTCGGATGATTTTATTATACAAACTTGAGTGTTTTGAATATGGAGCAGAGGAATTATTTATTGTTGCCATTGGGCTGTTATTACATTAGCTCAATATGTATTTTTACATATACAGTATTATTGATTTGAAATGTATTTTTCAAGTATTTCATAAATATATCCGGTTATATGGTTGATTATATTCATACATTATCCATTTCCAATTTTCTCATCTATCCTTTTCTCCAAAATTAATTGAATGGGATATTCAATGTGCAAACATGTTATTGATTTTGGTGTATTGTAACAACCAAATTGCTGAAATGCAACAATATCAACAACCCAAAAAATGCAGAAATATTCATAATTTTTGAAATTTTTTGATCAATTTGAAGGTTTTCATATCACAAATAGATAATGAGATGATCAAGACTTGAACACACCAGTGTCAAGGGTAATTTACATTTCAATGGCACTCCAAGTCCCACTTATTTGTTATGAAAATAGGCCATGGAAGATCTTTGATTTCATCTTTTCATAAATATTAATCAGGCACTGTAATATCTATGACAAAATATATTCCAGTTTGCCAGTGAGTATGACTTGTGGAGTGTGGACAGGACTGATATGATGCTGTGGACAAGACTAAATGCTACAAACGGGATTAAAATGCTAACACATCATACTTGATAGTTTTTCATTCACTCCTCAGATTTAGTACTTATTGAGAAATTGAAAACTTTGTCAAGTTAAATGAATGGAATATATAAATGTATGGAATATATATGTATATGTACTTGCTTTGTTTTATTACTAAACCATTAGTAGCAAAATGTTATGTTGTTGTATGTACAACTTTAAACTTATGTATGTGTAATGAAAATAGCCCTGGAACTCTGAATCTCACTCCACTAAAACTCACCTTACCATGACCAAAGGTGTCTATTTTCATCATGCCATGACCTTACCTCACTCACTTTTGTTAACAAAACCGTTCCTCGATATACTTGACAAGTTGACACTGCTGATTTTGACGTTTAATATACAAAAAAAGTCAAAAGATCAGTGTCAAGCAAAGTGTCAAGTACATTTCTACTATTCTTTGTAGGAACTCTAACGGTAGTCAAGGCAGTGTACGGTCCTGCCAGTGAGCGGCCAAGCACTGGGTCTTGGGTCTTGCACCGGTCCAAGCAAAGTTCGTGTCATGTCAGAGAAAAACTAAACTGTGTTCTGCTTCTGCTGTTCTGTGCTCTATAAAAGTCTGAAAATGAAGCCATGGCGCGTTCACATGCTGGCTTTTCGCCTTTTGACTTACAGCGTATCCTCATCTCATTGGCCGATTCGTCAGAAAGCGCTTATCGAGGTCATAAGCTAGAAAGTCGGTTTCAGTCCGACTTTTCCTGATCGTTTGACAGGACCGCACAACTATTGACAAAATGAATACATATTGGTGCTATATCATCATATTATGCAGTATGGAAAACAGTACTGGAAAAACACTCCTAAAAATGTGATAAATGTGGTTTCTGGAGGACGTACATCTGAAATTTAACCAAATATGTGGCAGTCACTGTCACTTTTCCAACGTGCTCATGTGAACAGTGCGCCCGTTTTATTGAAGCTTTCTGCTGTAGGCATAAGCTGGCATGTGAACTCGCCATAAGAGCAATGATGAATTTGTAAGAGCATAGAGCAAGAGCCATATAGTGGTCAGCCAAGGATTATGTGGTCAGCCACTCTGATTTTTTCAAAAATGAATCGATTTGATATCGGAATCCAAAAAAACGATTAAAAAAAATGGAGATTATAATCGATTCTCAAAAATCGAAACACCTCACAAATAGCGCCAAATTTGAAAAAATATATTGTTTCTTTCAAATAAGGTATCATGAGATAACTTGACTAATGGTAAAATATAAAGATGAATTCCCAATAACGAAGGAAGATAAGGAACAAAATTATTATATTTCTCAGTCACAATGATATTAGAAGTTTGAGATCGATCTTCGTAAAAAAATAATCGAGTCGATGAATCGCATGTTCCAGAAGAATCGATTAAATAATCGTTTTTTTTTGCGAAAAAGATCGATCTCTGAAAAATCGATTTCAGAATCAGCATCCCTAGCCCGTCCTTGTTAGTCTAAGAAGAAGAAGCCCCAAGCCTCCTAAGCCCAAGCGGCAAAGTTTTTAGAAAAATGGTTCATTTGGGTGAAATTTTTCCCAATTTCACAGCGAAATCGACTATTGGGAATATTGTATTTCATGACTGGCTCAAGGACTCGTAAGTATAACTAATAAAATTTCAATAAAACTAATTTTGGCATACTGATATATGCTTTGTAGTTGGGGCATATTGTTTTCACATCCAGCTGATTTCACTCCAGTATGCACTACTGAATTAGCAAAACTACTCAAGTTATATCCAGAATTCGAAAAGAGAAATACAAAAGTTATAGCTTTATCATGTGATTCCCTTGACAGTCATCACAAGTGGAGTAATGATATCAAAGTTTATGGTGGATATTCAGGCAATGAAATTCATAACTTGCCATACCCTATTATTGCTGATGAGGACAGGGAACTAGCTACCGAACTAGAAATGATTGATCCAGATGAGAAAGATTCTCTGGGAATACCTGTAACTGCTAGAGCAGTATTCATTGTAGATTCAAATAAGAAATTGAGGCTATCTATTTTATACCCAGCAACAACAGGAAGGAATTTTGAGTAAGATATGATGGTTTTTATTGAGCAATGTATATTTTTATACATGGATAGGAGAGAAACAAAGCAAGAACTGAAAGTGATGCTTGTTGAATATCTTCAGCAATCAGCATCATGTATTCAGCAAACTAACTATTAACAAAATACAATCTTGAAAGGTTTTTCCTTCAGGCTGAAAGTATTATAAAATCAACAGCATTACAATATGAAACATATCAGTCTAATTGTTCCTTATTAGTTAATGCCAACACTTTCAAGTAGAAACTAATCATGGGTTCATTACATTAGTTTCTGTTTGACTAATATGCTGTTTATAGATTCAATTGAAATAACAATTATTATGCATCAACAGTCAACAATTAATAATCAATAACCCTCAAAGTTTTTTCCTTATATTCAACTTTTCAAGTTATTAGTTGTCAGTTTAATAATTCTTAAGTTTAGTTGAATCTAAAAACACCCAGCATAATCCTTATTGGAGATTTATAAATTACATAAACTTAGTTTACATAACTGATGGTATAGCTAATTTTAATGCAGAAAGCTATCCAAGAAATATTCAATGACTATACATAAATATTAGTAATATACATAGCTGAGTCCCTACTTTTTCAAATAACTTTTGAAATCCTCTGTATATCCACCATGACCAATCCAATCCATTTGACAATATGATATTACATATACAGGGTTGGGATGAAGTATGGAACTCAGCAAATATCTCGGTAACAGTTGGGATTTCTTTGAATTTATGTACAGGGTGATTTCAAAACGTGTCGGATTTGAAAATATTATCGCCAATGTTGCCACTTTTCCGGTTATTCCGGAATTATTATTAACTTCCTAATTTTAAATAGAACACTCTGTATTTTAGAATTTTCAGATTTTCCCTGAAAAGCTGATTTCATCTAACAATCACACTTGGGGATTAGCGGGAATGATTACAGAGGTATGGGGTGTTCAAAATCGAGATTTTTCAACTGTAGAATTTGTTTGTGTGGAAACTATTCATTATTGGTCAAAACCACCCAGTATTTGTTCCAATTAAATGTCAGTAGATAGTAAATCAGAAGTTAAGATAGGGACATCATGAAAGCCATTTTGACCAATAATGAATAGTCTCATCACAAAAAAATCCTAAAGTTGAAAAATGTCGTTTTTGATCACCCTATATCTCTGTAATCATTCCCGCTATACCTCAAGTGTTATAAATCGATGAAATCAGCTTTTCAGGGAGAATCTAAAAATTCATTTAAATACAGGGTGTTCTATTTAAAATGAGGAAGTTGATAATATTTTCGGAATAACTGGAAAAGTGCCAACATTGGCGATAACATTTTCAAATCCGACACGTTTTGAAATCACCCTGTACATAAATTCAAATAATATAAAAATATAACAAACGGTTACCGAGATATTTGCTTGGTTCCATAATTTATCCCAACCCTGTATATCCATTCTGTTTTTTCATTGAACCACTGGTTAGATCTTTTCCAAACTGAACACATTCTGTCTGGTCCAATGGAAATTCGAAAAGTGAATCAATGTTGAGAATTTGGATACCCATTTGAATATTTGAAATCCTTTGAGTTCAACTATCCTGTATATCTCCTTTATCATGGATACAGGTTCCTCCGCAATGTTCACCGAGTTCAAATAATTGTCAACATAAAATTTGTGTCTGATTACTTCAAAATTTTGTTGAGAGAATTCTTTGTGGGTGTTCAAAATTCTAATGAATTGGGTATAGACAGGAAATGGTTTTTCTGGTTACTTACTACTGGTACTGGTGGGGGACGTTTCCACGTCAGCAACTAGTCCCTAATGGGACCTTTTTGCAAAAGTGTTTTCAATGACTGATGTGATTGGCTCAAGAGAGATGGCTAACATCCTTTTCAGGCACCGAGCTCTCTTTCAGAGTTTTTCGGCTGTGTTTCGTAGGCTAGTAATGTACTCACTACCATATGCGCAGTGGCAGGCCTGCTAGCTATCCTCGTTAACTCCCGTTAGAAACCGAGGTCCACTGAGCAGCTGGTCCGCTCTCACGCTCAGCTGGTAGTTTTCCACACCCACCTACATACACCGTCCTTACTTCTTTGATGCTCACAACCACATCATCATCTTTTTCTGCGTGTTCTGTGTAGGCTTTGTTACTAACTCCATGCGCCACTTTAGGAGCAGCACTGTTAATTGGAACGAAACAGCGAATCGGGCAGGACTATCCCCAGCCGATGCTCCGAAACTTTACAATATTTAATTCGTAAATACAATATTGAAAAAAGTCCCTTCCTCGTGCTGGGAATCGAACCCACGACGCTCTTCCACTGCGCCAATCCCGGCTTGTGTTTCTGGTTAAGTCACGTACTTATATAATCCTTTAGGCTCCTGTGATTATCAAAAATTTAAGTTTCAAAGATTAATTACTTGTGTTGAGTATCAATGTCAAGTGTGCGTTACTTTCGAAGTACAGATATATGAAATCATCTAATCATCACCCTCTATTCTGTGCCATTGTAAACCAAAATCTGTCAGGATTTGATCTGCTGATATTATCAGTTGATGAAATTTCAACGCTATGTAGTAAAAATCGTTCACTTTTGAAATTCAAATTCACTGTACTGATACTGATGCAAAGAAGTACTTTCCAGATCGTCCCACAGTACCCAGAGTTCTGTGGATTGTCCAGGAAACATGATTTTCCGACCGGATGCAAAATTAATTTCATCATACCGCCAATGAACAACAATCTATGGTTCCGCTGGTTTTTTGAAACACAAAGTTTCATACTAGTCTCATTTCTCGTTAGTGTTCATGTGACAATTCTTACAATTCGCCATTGCACAGACAGACATTTTCGCTCGTGAAATCATGATCACCAGTATCACCATGTTTTGAAAATCAACAATATACATTCAAATGTAACGTAATTGAATATAAAATAAATTTGGGTCAAACCAGGCAAACCCTCAATAATGAATCGGAGCACTTTCAGACTCATAGCTAAGTGTAAAGTTTTCGCTAAAGTTCTACGACCAGGGTGACGTTATGCGCGTAGTAGACCGATTTTGGAACGCGAAACTACATATCAGCAGGGATATATCATGTACCGTGGTTGAGTATTTCTTTGGTAGCTATCTCGCGCCAGTCGCTGCTGCAAATTTCAGAAATTCACCTCTTCAATTACCGAAGATACAGGGGTGATTCCATCAAAAGTGGAGGCATAAAGTATTCCGAGTAAAATTCATCTGATTGTGTTTTTCAGTGAAATACTTCGGGTTCTGGATTCTCTTCAACTTTGTGATAAACATAAAGTGGCTACTCCCGTGAATTGGATGGTGAGTATTATTATTCCGTGCCATTAATTTGAGGACTGAAAAAAACAGACTGCTTCCAAATGATGCCACATTAGTGAATTCTTGCAGAATTAAACTTTTTTCTATCAATATATTGATCTATTGATATATGACGTTAATGATTTTCAAATGGCGTCAAATGAGAATTCAACATTGCATCATATTTGATTTTATCAAATGTCTTGTTCAGAACTGTAGGATATTAGTTTCTCAATTACATTTTTTTTGGTCATATAGCCTGGAGAAGATGTAATGGTCCAACCAACAGTATCTGAGGATGAGGTAAAGACCCTTTTCCCTTCATTGACCGTTGTAGCATTACCTTCTGGAAAGGAATATATAAGAAAAACACCTCAACCATGAAACAATCACGTTTTTCAGTTTTCATTCGTTTTGTGTTATATAATTTCCTAAGAAAAACCTGTTTTTGTTGAAATCACTATATTACAGAATTATGTAAGTGATGAATTACCATGTTACTTTGGATTTAAAAAAATAAATTTTTACTTTCATTATTCGTTGTTGATATTATAAAATATTTACACATATAACAATTCACGAACCATATCTCACCAATATTTTTCTGAAGAGACTTCACAATGTGAAGACTATTAACAATGCAAACACAAAAATCATGAGGTATTCTGATTTTGGAACATAGTATAAGCAGTATATGGATCAGATAGTGTTGCGTCCAATCGTATATTCTTCGCGAGTGCGAAATAGACAGAAATACAGTGAGATGAGTGATCGGAGAAGGAGACAGGAGAATCAGTCGACGCCTAACAGTCATAGAGGTTGTTTGACGAATCTGGATTATTTTGTCCGAAACCGAGACAAAGTGGTACAAATGGTGAAAATTCACTAAAAAGTGCTTCAGCGAGGTAAACTGAGTAACCCGCTTGATGCGAGTATCTACCAAACCGTATCTGGTGTTAGTACCTACTCTATTATTTCATTTACGAGAAAACCGATTCTTCATTTTTCATTTCACATGACGAATGGGAGAGGGTGAGAAGGGCACGAACATTTTTAGACTTTTCTTAGTTTTCATCAATATTTCAAATATTCGATTTGGTGCCATGTTTGTTGTCTAATAATATAAAACCCACCTGAGAAAAATACATTTTGGTGCAACATACCCAAAATTTCGAAATTTAATCAATGTATGAAATAGAATGTTTAGGTCGGAGTGGATTCACGGGCGCAAACCACGCGGAAATGTCGGAATTGAATCAGGGAAAGTACCTACCAAATGACAATAATTATTGTCAATCAAAAATTGTCCAAAATGGGCGGAATGTATGATCGATTAGGTTATGTCAATGCCTGATGGTAGGTATAGAAATAAATCGAGAATGTGGTCTATTTTCTTAATTAAATCACAGGCTTTATTTTACTCTCATTTTTACAGTAGCAGTACTTTCTAAGTTGTGGTAAATGGGTTTCGATGCATCTTGCTTGACTACCATACATATTAATGCGACTAATATCGCTCATTTGTAAGAGAAATTTATCGCTGACTAAGTCGTGTACCAGACTCGCCTCAAATAGCGAATTTCCAGGTTTCAGCAAGGCCTTTATTTGGTACAAATCCTTGTTGACTTCCAATTTGGCTGACAAATCGGCTACAAAACCGTCCAAATCGGCGTTTTTGTGGAACTTCAATAAATTTTCATTGGGCGCAATCTTCATAGCCCACACTATTTCCGATATCGAAAGTAGTTCGCATAAATTTCTGTAGGTATTAGTATATTCGTTCAAGGTATGAACTAAAGTTTCTCCTAGTCTTTCTACTATTGGGTGGGAAAGTGGAAGATTCTGCCAATCTAGGCAGGCACACCAGTGGGGTTCAATATGTGCATGAGCACAACTTCTTTCAGCAGGGATCTAAAACAAATCGTTCTGGTAATAAAAATGCTCATTAGTTTCGATTTTCCATAGATTCGGCCATATTCCGATATTTGGTCGAAACATCTTACTGAATGTATTTTCACCTCAACACTAAATGAAACAAAAAAGTACCCTTGGAATGGAAGTACCTGTGGATTTTGGATACAAGTAATGTTTTTATTCGTCAGATATACTAGACAAGAGATTTCGGTTTGACTTTACCAGAGCTAACGAGAAATGTATTTTCGAAACTTTATGGAACTAACCTTCGAAAACAGCGAGACTGATCTCTTTTGTATATCTGCTATTCCAGTGGTCTCTACATTCAGTATATCTTTCAAGGTGGAGTAAATATCAAATGGTGTAGTCAGTTTGTTCAGATTCTCTTTAAAATTCGTATAAATAGCATTTTGTTTCTGTTTGAACCATTTGGGAAATGTGAACGAGAAAAATGGCAGTCGTTCCTCCTGTTTTCCTTGGAGGGTGTTTCTCACTTCTGCAAATCTAATTAAACAAGATCAGACATTTTAAAATTGTTATCGATTTTAAGATATCACATTCTGACGTATAAAGTGATAAAATCAGTTAGTATAAGATAGTCCACATGTTATTAGATGAAACAAGTTTTGAAAGAGTGACGACTTCAATCACCAATATTACAGTAATCCAAACTGCTTGTGAAACCCCCTGTATAGTTTGTCTTACTATCCAGGAACCTGTTACAAGGACATGAGACAGCAATAATAGTAACGAAGAAAACTTCGCCCACATATTCAACAGATATATCATTGATGTATGAATATTTTTCACTTTTTCCTTAAAAACATCAATGTTGAAATAGAAAACCATTCTGAATTTTGAACCTAGCGAATTTCTGGATCTTGTTTCATACAAAGGATCCACTCCATTGAAAGATAGTACCTATTGTATTTCCTTCTTCTTATAGACATGACATGAATATACAGCACTTCCATTTCAATTAGATGTGGAACCATTACAAGCGATTAGAATTTTCTAGTTTTTTACACACTTGGCACTGGCGAACATTTTAGTCTGAATTCCATTAATAATTGATGACGAAAATCACGAATCACTGTCCTTCCACACTACGAACAAATTTTGTGGCGACGATGAAAAATATTTCATACGAGAAACGCGACGTTGTCGCTTTTCGAGCAATAAATATCTTGATGCAACAGAATGGAATAGGTCAATGGTTCAATATTCGATAAGCCATTTGTATATTCAACTGTTTTGAGGTTGATTTGTGATATATTGAACAGAGGAAGGAAGCAAGCAACAATGGCACATGCTTGCCACTAATATATCAGCAAATGCTATGGGCCTGTCGATTATAATTATAAAAACTCATTCCATAAAGGGAAATCAATAAAAACCTTATTCCGATGTATGATCGAGTTTCCTTGGAATAATAAGTCTATAAATTATAACCGTACTGAATCGATGTCGAGTCCATTCATCAATGGCGTTACACATCTAGTCTATTAGTTCACCTGATATTCAGTAGTCTACTAGAGACTACCCAGGCATCAGACATTTTCAATGAAACGATTTGTGCTAAATTTTCAGACAACTTTTTAGTAGATATCCTTTCGTTCTGAACTAACTGAAGTATTCCACTTGAACTGAATTAGTAAACATGCATTCTATCGAATTGAAGTCATGTTAACTGATTCAGTTCAGTTAGTTCAGATTGGCAGAATATCACTTATATATTTTGCGATTTGAGGTCGTGATTGGCGTGATTCTCTTCAGATCAGGTCGTTATTGTTTCAAATTTCAACATGGATTAGATTGCCTAATTGGAAGTCTGTGATAGGTGGGGTGGTTGAATGTGAAATATTCTATTTAATTCCAGTCGCCCCGTTGTTCTCGGTTCTCCCGTGATTGCTCTTTCTAAATGATGTAATTAATACATTGATATACATTTTTGAATGCAATACGATAATACGAATGGGAGTATGATGAAGAGGTGGCCAGACTGCTTTGACTTTACATAATATCTCAATATCTGTACCTGTGGCCATGATCAGCCATCATGATCAGAATAGTGTTGTTCAGTGCCCCAGATGACTCTAGATTTTGTAATAATTCCAAAACATCATCATCAGCAACCCCAATTAGATTATAATCATCATGAGACAGTTCACCGTGAAAACCAAATAGGAACTTGGGCTTCATTTCGTAGACTTTGAAAAACTGAAAATTATCTGAGCGTAGATTAAAGAAGATATAGGTTAGTTAGTATAAGCATTACATCTCTTATGGCATTGAGCATTACTTTATGCCTAGGTATCTCTCCTGTACAAAGCTTAGGCCAGTTACTTCTTTCTTTAAGGCTCTCCAGGTAATAAGGCCTCATATAGTGATCTGTAGGAGGTTCCTGAAAATAAACCGTTCTTATAACTTAATCTGAAATATTTTAGGTCATAAAACAGCTAGAGCGCACCATTTTGTGTAATGTTGAGATGGAATGGTGGTGTGCACCCTTGTTTTATGATAAGTATGATATTTTCAACGAAATATACGATTTTCTACACATGATTCTCAGTGGCGGTTCAGATTAGCAAGCATGTGTTGGCAAATAGATATTTGTTTTACTAGGCATTTCCTGCCGCGTGAAACATATATTTTTTCTCCAAATATTTTAAAACCAATTTTGTTTGTCAGTGTTAATTTTGATTGACACTGCATAACAACAAACTTTTCCTGCCCGTTAGGTGTCAGAGAAAATCCACTTTCCCTACCGCTTGAAGAAAAATTTCATTTTGTATTCACATTTGCCACGACTTTTCAATTTTGGGTATCGTTCTATATCTTGTCACATGAGGCGTAGGGTGCCTAGATCTGCAGTTTAATGCTTTTTAGAGAATTAGGATACACTCGTCTCCTCTTGAAACATCTGAACGAAATGATTAAAACGTACGTTAAATCCTTTCAATCTGTAGGTGAATGTTCCCAATTCCGGAACATCTTCAAAAAACGCTGTAACATAACCGGCATCTTTGTATTGATTCCATATAAATGGATACACATCAACAAACTGAGAATCAGACTTTCTTTTCCTTGTATCTGGCAATTCTAACTCAGTTTTTCCAGTTAGAATTGGAATAAGTGCTTGAGGAGTTCCATCTCCGACAATATTATATCTGTAAATGAAATTGCATTTATAACCAAATTCTTCTTTGAACTGCCTGAATACTAAATGTATAAACAAGGGTACATTCACAGACACAGACTTGTTTCCTTCGGCACAGCATATTTCAATTTCCAGATTCAGTAATTACTCAAATATAGTAGAAGAAAGATTGGTAGCTTATTGCAGAAAGTTTATATTGGACTTCATCCAGAGAGGTCACGTGATCAAAGACTCGGATCACCTACTCGTGTTCAACGTTAACGAACGTGTAAGTTTAGGAACAACGAATCTTTTTTCTGTGGTTTCGTGAATTTGATAGACGAAAATGTTCACATTATATTCATGTACTTCTTTGATATGGTTACAAATATTTATATCCTGGTGATTGCTGATGTTGTCGCACATTACTTTCTTGGCTCATGAAACCACAATAAACTTCACACCTACCCAAATTAATATTTTCTTCTCTATGCATTACTTAATCAAATTGTGGCGATATAAAAGCGATTAATAAGAAAATTTATATCGCCGAGAAAAATGTTTTCTCAACATGCAAACTATTTTATTATTATATTGTTGTCGTGGAGTAGTAAACTCCCGCGTTTTTCGATTGACATAAATTTTGTATAAATTGGTAATGCGTATGCGATGTTCTTTGTGACTCTGGAAAACCTGCTTTCGAGTATGGTCACGAAAAATCAACCCTAGTCAGTGATCGAGTTAACAACACTCAAGTTTTCGAACAGAGGTAGTTGAATCGGTTCAGGCGTTGATTGATATATTATGCTTTAATCGTAATATATCAATCAACGGTGACAAGTTCATTTAGGAACTCTAGGTTTAGGTCAAGGTTTAGGTAACCGAACGTTCAGGTTAGGGATCCGACCAGCCCGAGTAAGTTTCCGAAAACGCCTAAACAGTATAGGGGTTTACTGATCTTAGATAATATTGGAACATTGGCTTCGCCCAGTAAACCGTCCTTAGCGTTCCTGGCTATAGAATTTTGTGGAATTGATATTACAATATTTTTTTCATTTCAGTCTGACCAAAATTGTACTTTTTCGGTAACATATGAGTGCGGTTTCTCAAAAACTTTTTAGGATGCTGAACAAGAATTTGAAGTTTGCTGACTCTTATCAGTATCACCGGCTCAGATCGCTAGCACAATATTTTGAAATTATATATTTCCCGGTGTTCCAATCATATCTTATAAATTTTGGAGTTAGGTTAGGTAGCTCGTTGGGAAGTTATGAAGGTCATTGGACACAGAATTTTATGCTCATCAACTTTGAATAGCGACATTTCTCGTAAGATGCGACGTTTGTAAAAGATGAGCGGAAAACCGGAAGAACTCCGAAAATTTCGAGGTTTTTTGCAGCACCCCAAAAAACATGTGATTCCGTTTGAGAAACCCTCTACCCAATGAAGCAATTTCTATTTCGAGGAATCTTGTACCGGACTCATGTTACGATGGTTGAGAGCTTAGAGGCGCTGAGTAAGTATGGGGACTTCCCACCGAGACATGGGTTCGAATCCCAGTTAGGCCATGCCTGGGTTAGCATAAACACAAAGGCTATTTGTAAATTCCAAAGATATTTTGAAACAAAAATATTCATACTATTTATTAATATTATGATATTGAAAAAACCATTAAAAGAATAAGAATATTTTGCAGTGGTTGAAGCACTAGAAGGGTAAAGTTGAAACATATTTCACTTTTTGATTGAAGTGGAGAATGATGAGTATCTACCCATTAATTTGATATAATTACCTATTTCAAAGTATTTTCTTTCATTCCCTGCAAATGTTATTTTCATTATGGTGAGTCTATGCAATGCAGCAATCTTACTTGCATGTCTTAGTCCTACGACTTCTAAGTCATAAATAAGAAATTAATAAAATATAAGCTTGAACCAATCTTTGCAAATATCTAAAATCATCGAATTTTAAGAAAACGCTGGTGGTGGTGAATATGAGAAATGAATGCAAATGGTAATAGTTTGGGTCAGTTTGGGAGGTCTACATTGAATGTAAATAGTTGCCTATTAACATTTTGTCTGGGATATTGTTAATGTTACTTATTTATGTGAATCACTTATGCAAATCAGATAGAAATTTGTAAACCAGAAACACTGTAAAATGTAATACAGTTATCTAATGTAGGTGTATCTATATGTTTTGCATAATTTGAAATACCTGTAACCTTTCAGGTGAATTGATAATTCAAAGATAAATTCTAGTCATTAAAGTCAGTGATTTCTGACAGAAAATAAATTCCTACCTATTCTTGTTTTAGTAATTTTATATTTTTTATATATCTAGGTACTATCTATCCTAACTAACTACTCATCCTGATATATACCATATACCTATTGCTTAGAAATAATCAAACAGCCTCAGAATATTCAGGTAGATATATGTTACCCAGTTTGTATTTTGTATGTAAATGTAAACATATATGTATTTATCTACTGGCTACACATAAACTTGGGCTATAAAGTCAAGTATGAAGTATAAAGAAATATTTACTTACCCCTGTAAAACATCCCCTTCCAAGAATTCTGTTATATATTCATAAGTCTTGGGTAATTTTCTAATGAATGCATTTCGGGACAAGGAGTCAAAACCAAACATTAAAACATTCATCCTCAGTGCATTATGAGGTAAATTATCCCAGCTCACAGTATCATAAATCTGATTGTCGTTTCTGATACCAGTCAAGGTTGCTGACCATTTTTTATCTTTTGATTCACAAGATGCTCTCACCTTCATGAACAGTTATTTGACATTTTTTATTTATTGGATCAAAGTTAAACTTACCACATCACTCTTCTGGAGTTGGTAAGATTCAGCAATAACAGAGTTACCATCTTTTGATTTGAAATCATCTATTCTAATCACATCAGTGAATGAACATTTGATAGGTCCATATTCTATCTTTGCATTTTCTTGAAGTTCACATATAGAGCCCTAGAAATATTTTGTTCAATCAAAATTATCATGATGAATGTTCTGTTTGTCCAACCAGACATTTCACCCAATCTTCATTAGCTTTAGAACAATCTATTTTTGGCACTGCATGCACAAATTTCATAATTTCAGGAGAAGTAACGGGGAGATTTGGTTGCTTGCAAGCCAGGGAACTTGCCTGAGTCCTGATTAACTCTTCAATTTTCTTTCTAATGTATAAATAATGATACTCTTATTACTCAAATCAGTTAAGAAGGGAGTTTATCCATAGGTACTCACAATGTGAAATTTCTATCTTCACTTTGCCAAAAACTGCGGCATATCATAAAAAATACTAGTGAGCCAATGATACCATATGATAACATGCAAAAAGCGACCCTACGCTTGATTTGCGAGAGTCTCCAGAAAAACATAATTAATATCAGATTGAGATAATATAAATAATAATAATACACACACAGCTAGATTTATGTAATATTCACATTTCAATAAAATTCAGTGATACTCATGTAGAAATTGAGATAACCAGAGATAATACACAAATCATTAGCTAATGATTTCTCCAATCAAATATTGAAAATATTTTTCAATTTTTCATTTAACCAAATTTGTCAAATTATTTTCTTTCCGACAAAAGTGAAATGGTGTCATTGATGTCCATAGTATCAATACTCTTGAATCTCGATAGTCTTTAGTCTATCATCACTATAACCAGTAGAGTCCTATAACCTTATTTGCTAATGATGGAAGAATCATTGATGGAAGCATGATGGAAGTAAGATGGAAGTAAGTTTCCTTTTGCTTGGCGATTTTGGAATTTGGCTTTGGCGACGCTAGCGATGGAATGTGTGACTTTATTATTGGTCAATGGCATCTAACCAAGTCTTATTAACCAAAACCAACGCCAATAGTATCATAATAAATCGCATAGCTGGAACAGGAACCAGGAAGTTGGAACATCAGAGGATTGGAGGATTCGGCAAAATTTCGGTTGGGTGTGAGTAAGATGCCTGAGAGTGTGTGAATGTGCTCACCCAACACCGGCGTCGGTGATTAGAATGATCACAAAAGATGGCTATGGGCTATGGATTAGTCATGCATGAGCCTCAGTAGCAGAAAAAGGCCAACGGTGAAGAAACAATAAGAAGAAGAAGAAGCGAGGTTAGGTATGTTTTTTTTTGTGTTAGATGTAAACAACATATTGAGTACATTGTGTTTGACTGCTTGTGTTGTTATTATTTCAAGTTTATTATGTATGAAGAAAATGATGAATTCTACACAAAAGCTGCTAATTACTGGTCTGAAATTCCTGCCACGGTGGACGGTATGCTTGGAGGATTTGGTCACATATCACAAACAGATATCAAGGAATCAAAGATGTTACTGAAGCAAATATTCAAATCCAAAAATGCACCAGAACGGCACTATGCCTTAGATTGTGGGGCGGGTATAGGAAGTGTGGTATTCAATCACTTTGTATGTTCCTATTTACATGACAGTGTCACTATCTGTCGCATTAATTAATGTATTTGTCACTGTTAATTATGTTATATTTTGTTGAATAAAGCCAACATTTGGTCACATACATCAATTTATTCAACAAAAGGAAGAGACCTATGGAAAAGTACCTTCGACCAGATCGTTTTGAAGTCGATCCAATCTCCAGCTCAGCAGGTGAAGACTGGGCCCACTGGAAACGAACTTTCAAACATTTTTTGGATGCACGTAAGGAAACAGAGAAGTTTTCTGAAATAACTAAGCTGCAGGTTTTGATCAACCATATTTCACCAACTGTATATAGGATCATCAATGATTGCAAAGATTTTGAAACAGCTCTAGAGAGACTAGATGCTGTTTATATCAAACCTAAAAATAAAATATATGCAAGACATCAACTAGCCACTCGTCGCCAAGAAAATGGAGAAACAATCGATCAATATCTTCAAGTCCTACAACAGCAAGCGAAAGATTGCGATTTCAAAGGTGTTTCAGCAGAACAAAACAAGAATGATTATATCAGAGATGCCTTTATTGCTGGTCTCCGTTCTGCGCCAATAAGACAACGGCTATTGGAAAATACTTCGCTCGAGTTGGAAGAAGCATACAATCAAGCACGCTCCTTAGAAATGGCTCAACTCCATTCCGATAGATTTCTGATTCCTAATTCTACAGTGAACGCTCTATCAATAGAAACTAATGACCAACCTCGTCACTCAGAGAATCTTGCTCCTCGTCACTCAGAGAATCTTGCAGCAATGGCTAGATTGGAATCTAAATCACGTTCCTGTTATTTTTGTGGAAATCAGCTACATCCCAGGTTTGAATGCCCCGCGGCTAATGTGACTTGTAAAAACTGCCTGAAACGTGGCCATTTCGCAAAAGTCTGCAGAAGCAAGAAAGCTAATTCCAGAACGGTAGTGGCCGGCACCATGGAATTACTTGCTAGCTCAATAACAGCTTCAGCATCTTCGTGTCTACAAAAAGCAACCGTTGCAGTCACAGTTGATGGAATTGAAGCCCAATGTCTCATCGATACTGGAAGTACATCTAGTTTCATCAATTCAAATTTTGTGGATCATTGTAAAACTCAGAGAATGCCATCTAACGAAAGAATCAACATGGCTTCTTTAACGCTGATATCGAATGTTGAAGGGTGCTGTATAGTAACTATCGAAATGGAAAATCATATATATACGAACGTCAAGTTATTGATTATGAGAGACCTCTGTGCTGATATCTTATTGGGACATGATATCTTGAAAAATCATTCTGCAGTTGAGATACACTTTGGTGGCTCTAGAAAACCTCTAAAAATATGCAGTGTTATTCAAGCATTAGTTCCGCCTGCAAAACTCTTCACAAACTTATCTCAAGATTGTCGACCGATAGCTATTAAATCGCGTAGACATCCTCAAGAAGATCAAAAGTTTATTGATTCCGAAATTAAAAAGCTTCTCGCAGATGGTATAATCGAAGAAAGTATTTCACCATGGCGAGCTCAAGTACTCGTAACATCGACTACAAATCATAAGAAGAGGATGGTTATTAATTACGCCCAAACCATTAACAGATTTACAGAACTTGACGCGTACCCTCTTCCGAATATAGAAGAAATAATAAATAAAGTGTCAAAATATGAAGTATTTAGTACGATCGACCTGAAGAGTGCTTATCATCAAATACCTATTTCCAAAGAAGAAAAACCCTTTACTGCATTTGAAGCTTGTGGAAATCTGTATCAGTTCCTTAGAATTCCATTTGGAGTCACGAATGGCGTAGCAGGCTTCCAAAGAGTAATCGATTCTATCATTCGAAATGAAAATCTTCATGCAACGTTTGCTTACTTGGATGATGTGACGATATGTGGGAAAGATCAGCTAGAACATGATCAGAATCTTCACAATTTTCTTGAAGTAGCTAAATTGTATAATCTAACTCTCAATGACACCAAATCGAAATTCAACCTCAAATCTATAAACCTTCTTGGATACACCATAGAAAATGGAACTATAAAACCAGATTGTGAGCGTCTCCGTCCTCTTCAAGAACTCCAGGAACCAAACAATCCATCTTCACTCAGGCGAGTGATAGGTATGTTTTCGCATTATGCCAGGTGGATACCGAAATATTCAGATCTGATCAGACCTCTCATTCATTGTAAAACATTTCCCATTTCTGAAGAAGTCATAAAATCTTTTGAGACTCTGAAATTAGCTATAGTGAAATCAGTTGTCACCGCTATTGATGATAAAGTTCCATTCACTGTAGAGACAGACGCCTCTGATTTTGCATTAGCTGCTACCCTTTCACAAGGCGGTAGACCAGTAGCTTTCTTCTCTAGAACATTATCTGAATCTGAAAAACGACACTCTGCAATTGAAAAGGAAGCATATGCTATTGTAGAATCACTTCGAAAGTGGAGACATTTTCTCATTGGAAGAGCATTTCGCCTAATAACTGATCAGAAATCGGTATCTTTCATGTTTCATACCAAACATACGGGGAAAATAAAGAATGATAAAATTGAACGATGGAGATTAGAACTTTCTAGTTATAAATTCGATATTATCTATCGACCAGGAAAGGATAATGCCGTTGCTGATACACTATCCAGGGCAGAAAATTTATCGAAAATATGTTCTAGTCTTAGTTCTGCAGAAAAATTATATAATTTACATCAGTCTCTATGCCACCCAGGAATAACTAGAATGGTTCACTTTGTAAGATCCAAAAACCTGCCTTACTCAATAGAGGATGTTAAAAGAATGACTACTTCATGTTCAATCTGTGCGGAAATCAAACCACGATTTTATAAGAATGAGAGTCGACTAGTCAAAGCTACATCCCCTTTTGAAAGACTAGCATTGGATTTCAAGGGACCATTGCCGACATCATCTCACAATAAATATCTACTCACGATAATCGATGAATATTCAAGATTTCCTTTTGCTTTTCCTACACGAGACGTATCTTCAGCATCTGTCATCAAAAATTTGTCGAATCTGTTTTCTATATTTGGAATGCCCAGTTTCATACATACAGACCAAGGTGCTTGTTTTATGTCACAAGAATTGAAAGATTTTCTTCATTCCAAAAATATCGCGACTAGCCGAACTACTGCATACAATCCGGAAGGTAATGGACAAATAGAGAGACAGAATGGAATTATCTGGAAAACAATTGAGTTGGCTGTTCGAACAAGAGGCTTGAAGATATCTCAGTGGGAAGACGTGTTGCAAGAGGCTTTACATTCGATCAGATCACTTCTATGTACTTCGACCAATACAACACCACATGAACGAATGTTTCATCATAATCGTAAATCATCTAATGGATATTCTGTACCTTCATGGTTGATGACTCCTGGACCTGTACTCATGAGAAGACAAGTTCGACGAAATAAGTACGAACCTCTCGTTGATGAAGTTGAGCTATTGGAAGGGAACCCAGACTACTCATACGTCAGGCTACCCGATGGACGAGAAACTACGGTCTCGAACAAACATCTTGCTCCTACAGGAAATCATGATGATACCGAGCATCTGGATGTTCCAATAGAGCGAGATTCAGTTGAACAAAATACTGTGGAAGAGCAGTCCACATGTCTTGATAGAGAAGATTCACCTACTATACATGAACGATCTATATCAGAAAGAGGAGAATCATCTGCTTCGCATTCAAATGAACCCATGATCCGGCGTTCTGATAGAATAAGACAATCTCCTAGATATCTGGATAATTACTGTCGTTTTTAATACTAAGGGTGAATGTGGTATTCAATCACTTTGTATGTTCCTATTTACATGACAGTGTCACTATCTGTCGCATTAATTAATGTATTTGTCACTGTTAATTATGTTATATTTTGTTGAATAAAGCCAACATTTGGTCACATACATCAGGAAGAATAACCAAATTTCTTCTTACTGATATATTTGATAAAGTTGATATGGTAGAGCAGAATCCATCATTTCTTGATCAGGCTAA